TTATGATCAAGGGATACTACGGCTAAAAGAGGTTCGATGTCATGAACAAACACACGAGAAAACCTCTCGCCTTGTCCACGCTGGCCGGTCATCACGGTGCCCCCTTTGTTCCAAGATTGATTAAACATCCGAGGGTACGGCGGTGCACGACACAAAAACAACTTCCCCCGAAGACCACCCAGGCTTTACACACGGTGTGGACCGAGCTGAGTGCCACGACGAACGCTATCAATCAAAACGATTTACAAGACGTACCGCAACATGCACAAGAAGCCTCAAACGACATCAAAAAAATATTGGCCACATACATGGACGAACCCTTGCCCAGGTTCAAATTTCCCTTTCGGGAACGATCGACCCGATTAGAAGTGGCAAGGTACAACCGAGAAGCGCTTCGAACCCAGATCAGTCGCATTTGCGCAACCATCGACCGAGTCCTCTTCGAGGACACCACGCTAGCCGAAAGGCTTAAAAAGTTAGTCAGAGAACAAGGGGTTACCATTACCAGCGTTCTAACGGCTTTGGGTTCCATCACATCGACCCTGGTCCTAGCGCTGACAGGTGGCAGTGGAAGCACACCACCAAGCCCAGTACCACCACCCAAAAAGGTGGCGACGTCAGAGACTGGGTAAAAAAAACAGTTGAAATTGCTCGGGAAGCCTTGGTGAGACTGGCTGGCAAAGCTGCGGAAGCCCTGCCCGGCATCTTGGGCAGCATCGTGTCCTGGTTGCTGGGCTAGTTGTCGAAAACGGTCCGGTGGCTCGGCCAGAACGATTGGGCAGTCATCGTCGGTGTGGCCGGCCTGCTGTACGTCTCTTAACCAAATGAGGCACACCCTGACCGCGATCCGTCGTCGACCATGAGCGTCGCTTTGCGATAGAGGTGTTGCTGATGTCTGACCTCCTCGCGTGGTGATAGGCATGGTGGTGATGGTTGAACGCTGGGCTCTGGTGCTGGTGGTGGCATCATGATCCCCGTTTAGCCAGTATGCATGGATGCTGGGACTCTACTCACGTTGACATTGGGATTGATGCCCAACTTTTGATCGGCGGTCGCAATGACAATTTCGTTGTTGCCCACCAGTTTGTGGATGCTCGGTCGCATGTCACACGAAGCCATGTACAACCCCAAGACGAACACATAGTCGACTTTCGACCGGGCGTATTCCAACGTGTCCTGGTAATGCCGGATGGCACTCGGCAAATCCACTGGTCTAGCGATGGCGTCCTCGACGTTCGACGGGCACTTCGTAAGCCGTCCCTTTACCCACAATGCCAGAGTAGCAGCGCCCACACCTGCACACGTATGTTCGAATCGAATCGTTCACTCTGACGACACCGGGACGAGTATACCCCTTCGATGTATCCAACATATATACTTTCCAATCGTCTTCAGTGTATTGAGGCTGCTCCACCTTTTGAACAGTGAAAGCACCACCGCCTTTAAAATCCACACGATCATCTCACCATTCATTACATGACAGAGCAAAGTGCTGTAGGAGCCTACCACTTTTCAGTAAACCATCACTGACTTCTTCACGGATTTCGCTCCACTGTCGGAATGCCCAACCCATGGTTCTTACCCAGTATATGCCAATCCGTGTTCGGATCGATTTCGAAATCAGCACAAATCCGCTCTTAAGCTTGCTGATCATAGGGATTGTTCGATGCATCCCATGCCTTGTCCTGTGGCATTGGTGTGCTGATTTCTTTGAGGATGTGTCTGATCTGGTAATACACGTGAAAATAAAACATGGACTGACTCAGCGGTTCACGACGAGTGTCATTCATGGTCACGCCGCACCCTGTCGTCGCGCATCACACGGCAAAATCGAATTGATTCTGCCAGAACTGCATCAGGTTGTGAAACGTTGTCTTGACGTTCATGACCAAAAGCCGATACTTTTCAAATACACTGATAAATCGAGCTCGAAAGTGGGAACCCTCCTTCGCATCCACCACGATTCTTCATGTGCTTGGGATCGGTAGCACTTAAATTATCGCTTCTAGGATAAAACATCAACGCTTACACGAGTCTCGAAGGAGTCACGATTAACTTGGAGCATACAATCGCACTCACAAGGATTTTTCTACCTTCACAAATCCATCTCATCAGCTTAAAGTTTACTCACGAGAAATTGTCTCAGAATCAATTGAAGACTCTTCCATAATACGAACATAACCATGGGCAACGTGTCAAACCTGAATCAAATCGCCACCATCAAGTTCTCCGATCTTGGGCACACGCGAGGATTCGACGACCCCGGTACGACAAATGCCTTGTACGTATTGCAATTACAAAACGATGTGTACCAACGACGAGAAGTCATCGTCGAATTGAACTGGATCATCAATATTATCTTGACCCCTATCTCGTCATGGATCAGGATCGTAATATCCTCGAACTAAAAAACAATGGGATTCTACTGGGAAGTTTTATTCCGTTTCATAAAAAGGGAATGTACGCATGACTATTACCAGATCAAAAGGGTTATATGCTAGTCCCTCACTCGGAAGACACGACGAAATGGCTCTATTTAAAACGATATAGTGAAGTCCCAGACCCGTGGATCACTGTGATACCAGGTTCTACCCTTATTATCAACGTCGTTCTTGGAAATGCCTCCGGACAAGGGGTGGGACTTCTGTCTGGGTTAAACATACGCTGGCACGATCGCCATAAAAATCAACCCAGTCGTACTTATGTACAACTAGGAACAGCTTCCACCACAAGCCTCGAGGGAGTCGAGGTTATTATTATAGGAGAAATTTTACTCTACCAGGCGTACGATCACGTGTACCTCATCAGCCTAAAGTATATTCATCAACGATTGACGGAGGACCAATTGAAGCTAATTTCTTAACCTACATTATACTCGAGATGGGATTGTATCCGGCCATGGACGATGTGGCTCAAACACTCGAAACCGTTGATGGATTTCGTTTGCGACAGATCAGCGACATCAAACACCAACTGGAACGAGAACGCAACGCACAACTCGGATTGCATATAAAGTACCATCGGGACATCGATACCATCGACGGCGTGGACACGGCCCTCGTGGTCGCTGGTATGGGTATCAGGGGTGCCGGCATCGGCTTGTTGTCGACCATCGTGGCCGCACCCGTCGTCCTTGGATAAGAAGCAGCTGCCAGGGTATCGGGGCTGGAAGGAATAGCTCTTAAGCTCGTGCTGCGTCGGTTGCAACAGAAGGCCTTAAAACATGACGAAATCCGAGTGCTGGGCAAAGCCAAGCTGAAGGCAATCAATGACAGTAAAATCTCCAAAGATGAGTTCTAACTGATTTTAGCCAAACTCGCCAAGTACCAACGCATGAAGGAAGAGATTCGAACCAAGACTCGGAAAACCGCCGACTTCAGCGAAGACGAGAAAAAAAAGCTCATAGAACAAGGCCGACAACAAATCATTCAAGCCTTCCTGACCAAGAACAAAAACCTCGTAAAAGTTTCACGTTAAACTGCTTTGTAGATGTCATTATGACATAGCCTAAAAAAATAATCATAAAAATAAAATAAAATAAAAGTCGGCACATGGAAGGATGGCTCTCCATAGACAATCGCCATTTTTAAGGGGGGCTGGGGGGCTTAATTCCACAAATAAGCCTCTAAGCCGCATCTGATGCAGAACCCCCACTCTAGTACTACTCTATGTATCTATCTATATCATTCTTCAGGGAATATTTGTTTTTATGCATGGCAATTCTGTTCATGCTGATGTCAGAGGGTGTCATGAGCTGCAACAGCCTTGTCATTAGATATGTCATTTGATATCAGGTAAGTAGATTAAAAGATGACGTGTTTACAAGTTCAGTGCCAACAGACAGACCTACTCTATGCTATGAGGTTATGATATACAGGGATCACTCTGGGATCACTCTGGAGAAAATGGTCAATGGGGGGAAATCTCTTCCTTACTCTGAACAATGGGATTTTCAGAAGAAAGTATCGGATATTTCTATATTATTTACATATTGTAATGCAAGCATGCATAAGTAATGGGAATTTCTCCCCACGTTAAAATTTTAATGGGTATTTGTATTTCAATGGGTAAAACTACCCATATCCCAGCCCATAGTGATATCCCTGGATATAGATATGGGGTGTTAACCAGTCCGATTCACTTGGATCCACCACCAGCCCCATGTCTGAGAACGATTACAAATGTACACATACATGCGGTTTTAAAAATATTCTACGTTCCGCGATTTTTATCACTTTAAACCTACAATAATCTAATTCTTCTGTAACACACCTACTTTTGGCTCTACTACGCAACATTATTGCTACTTTCGTTATCACAGTCACCTACACTGCATGTATATTGCATTACCCACTGTCTTAGTCCTTCTCGAGATAAACCCGACATTTAATTGTGATATAATGAAGATTACAAACATGTCTAATTCCGTCGACACTTACTGATTGCTTTGATCTTTAGGAACTTCGTTGACAAGCGCACCGTCCATACAACCTCCAATATATTGCTGGAAAAACCTGTGCTAAAAATAGCTGTGGGTTTGCTCCCTATGCGCGCGCCACCTTGCGACAAAGCGATGCGAGACGAGGCCCAGCTCACAGCGATGTCTTCCTGGTCGCAAACACTCCGGTAGTCTGTCTCACAGTCCCTGAACCACATTAATTTCCCTACTGCCAAGCCCTCTCTGCAGTCCTAAAGCCCTAAATAAAGCAAGTCTAGATTTCCTCAGGTTCTGAATCTCTGGTCTCCCTAGGGCTCCTTTTCAATATAAATGGGCTTGTTTGTTACTATCAAAATTGGAAATTTCACAAGCACACGTAGTGTGTAAAGTGAAATTATAATTTCATTAGTAAACATAGTAGATGTGATATTGGTATCTTCATCATGATATCCGGAAGTAGGCCATATTTAAAGCTAGCGAAGTCTCGCTGTGCGAGATCTCGCGAGGCAAATTACCCATAAACCCTTCTTCATAAGGGACGAAATTAGAAAAGAACACAGAGTAAAGGAAAAACATTTAATCAGATCATACAGATCTATTGAATTAGAACTTCAAACGGAAAAAACCCTAGATGGGGTCAGTGGCCACAAGTCAACCAGTGGAGCGCCCTCCTCTTCCTGGCCAGCTCCGCTGTAGTCCAGACCCACAGCACTCAACTGCAAGTAAAGAGCATAGCATTATCAGCTATGACTTGGTTGAATCACTCAGATCAATCCAAAACTGTAAAATATATAAATCCATTAAGATTGACATAAATTCAAAATGTTTCCTGGAATGAAGTTAAGTCTTAGCAATGCAATAACTCTGAGAAATGCCAAACAATCTAGGCAATTCAGGGTGGGAGACAGGGTAGGGAATATCACATCTACTATGTTTACTAATGAAATTATAATTTCACTTTACACACTACGTGTGCTTGTGAAATTTCCAATTTCATGTCATAAACATAGTAGATGTGATATTGGTAGTTCAAAGCCCGGTAGTGTCAAGTATCTTTGACAAGCAGTTGCCACTGCTGATAGTATTTCTCAGATAAAAGGTTCTAAAAGTAGAGGCCTTGGTCCAGTTTCCCAACTTCAAAATGTCTGTGACAGAAGCACCTTTGGCAAATGCCTTTGAAGCACTAGCTCCTCTGACAGAATGAGCTTTGTAGTGTGAAGTGTCAATACCCGCCTCGCTCATAAGATTTGTCACCCATCTTGCAATACTTGGGGATGAAACGGTTTATGCGGTTTCACATAGCTCAAGAAGAAGGCCAGACCTACATTCATCTCTCCAAGGTTCTGTGCGTTCTAAGTACACTCTAAGGCATCGAACTACACAGAGTGCAGGGTCCTTCTCATAGGCACTGAAACTCAAGGGATGAGGTTTTGTTCCTGTCTTAGTCACCTTGGTTGGTTTAATCAGGGTAAATTCTACTTCAGTGCCCCTGTCTACCATGTGTCTGATATCCAGGAAGATAACTCTGAAGACCTGCTAGCAGAGGTTAGCATCAGAAGCATTGTCAACTTCCCAGACAAGTTTTATCCGACAAATAGATATTATCTTTCAATTTTTCAAATATTGCAGCACAAATCTACATCCCAGGCCACTGAGTATCTGGGCTGAGGAGGATTCTGATTAAAATCCCTGACATTAATTTCCTGACCAGTGGGTGCTTGACCCACATTATAGCCCCTCGATAGTGGGGTGAAAAGCAGACAAAGCTGATCTAGCTGTATTTATGGTCCTGTACTGACTATTCTCGTGGTACAAGTGAGTGAGAGAAAGTCTAAGATAGACTCCACAGAGGCTGAAAAGGATCAAAACCCGTTGATTGCACCAGCCAGTCCACCTATTCCAGGAAGCATTGTAAGTTTTGTGTGCGGGTCGCCATTGGCAGGAGAGCAGCTGTGTAGTAAGCCTCTGAAATTCCTCTGAAGTCTTGATGCTACGCCTGAAACCTTCCATGCCGCTAACACCAGAGTGTTGTTTTCTATCAGTGGATGGAGGAGGCAGGTTTTGCGGGGAGTTTAACAGATCCCTCATCTGTGGGAGGAGGATTGGCTTTGTGACCGCCATCTCCAAGAGGAGTGGATACCAGGACTGACCTTGCCACACTGGAGTTATTAAGACCAGCTCCGCTTTGTCCTTTCGGATCTTCCACAGACACCTGCCTATCAGTGAGAACGGGGGAAAGGCATAAGGAATCCCCTGGTTCCAATTCACTAGAAACGCATCTGTTGATTGTGCAAGGGGGTCTGGCCTCCAGCTGCAGAAAGGCTTCATTTGGAAAGTCAGTCTCGATGCAAAAAGGTCCATTGAGAAGGGACCCAGTATCTGGTTGCATTGAGCAAAGATGATTGGATTGAGCATCCAATCGCTTCGAGTCGTTGAAGTGGCGAAGAGACTCCCAGTCCGCATGAATGTTCTCTAACCCTGGCAGATAGACTGCTGTTAAGAACAGACGGTTCTGGAGACAGAAACCCCATATCTGCTTTGTGATCTGCAACAGACTGACTGATTTTGTGCCCCCAAATCGGTTCACATAAGCCATGGCTGTCTGATTGTCCACTTGGACCAAAATAGATTGATCTTTGATCCCCTTGCAAAAGGTCAAGAGTGCCAGATGAATTGCCTTCAGCTCTAGAACATTTATGTGCATACTCTGCTCTATCTCTGACCAGCGGCCTCCTGTTGATCTCTGGCCGTGTATTGCTCCCCATCCCTTTTTTGATGCATCTGTCTGGAGAATTACATCTGGATGAGCTGCCATAATTGGCTTCCCGTTGAAATTGGTGAGGTTGGTCATCCACCACTTCAGTTCCTCCAGACAAACCGAAGGCAGTGTAATCATTGACTCGTAGCTCTGAGAGCGCTAAAAAGCTCCCTGCTCGAATGCATCTGCAGGTAACGACAATGCAGTTGAGCGGGTAAGATTGCTCTCATTGAAGCTGACAGTTTTCCTATCAAACTTGCCAGTTGTCGAATCCTTACCTGTTTCTTTCTCATCATGTGACGACAGGTTGCTACAATGTTCTCTACCTTCTCCTCTGGTAAGATCAGAGCACGATCCACCGTGTTTATCTGAAACCCCAGGAAAGTGATCGACTGGGTTGGTGACAGAACTGATTTCTTCCAGTTTATGACAAAGCCTAGGGACTGGAGGAGAAAGATGAGGGTGTCCCTGTGTTGACTCAGCAGGGTCGGCGATTCCGCTATACACAAGATATCGTCCAGGTATATAATCAGCGGATGCCTGCTCGCCGTGCCAAACTTACCACTGGGCTAAGAAGTTTTGTGAATGCTCTTGGAGCTGGGGCAAGTCCAAATGGCATGCATCGGAACTGATACAGAACACCCTTCCAAGAGAAGCGGAGTAGCTTTTCATGTGGGTGCCATTGGGACGCTGAAGTAAGCATCCTTCAGATCCAGCTTGCAAAGGTAGTCCCCTTTGGCGGATCAAGTCCTTAGAAGATGTAGTCCTTCCAACTTGGAAGTGTTTGTAAGGAATGTGAGCATTGAGGGCCTTGAGATTTATGATTGGCCTCTGCCCTCCATCCTTCTTGGGAACCATGAACATAGGACTTAGAAACTGATCCGAGTCCATCGAAGCAGACTGGGGAACAACCTCTATCACATGTTTGCAAAGCATTGATTGGATCTCCTGGCTCAAGGCTAACTGTCTTGTGAGCTTTAGTTTTGGTTGAAACACGCGATTCTGAATAGGTTTTGACAACAGAGGAATCTCGAAACCCGAAACTGTCTGAAGTATCCATGGATCTGAAGTGATCTTTTGCCAGTTTTTTAAAAAGTGTACCAGACGACCCCCTATGAGGGATTCCTTGTAAAACAGAAGATCCAGGTTTAGCTCTAAAATTGCTGGGATAACCTGTAGATGTAGCATTGAGGAAGGAGGAGCATTGTGGGAACAGACGTTGCTGACATTTGACCCACCTGATATAAGAGAGTCTGCGATTCCGACCGGACTGACCGGCTCTTCCTCTGCCTCTGGAAGAGTTGCCTCTGAAACCTCTGTTGAAGGAGGGCTTGATGTGGAATGTGCCCCCAGTAGATTGTCTTCCTCCTGAGGGCATTCTCTGAAAGGGCTGTCTATCAGGTGACTGGGCCCTTGGTGTCTGAAAGTAGGTCTGCGAGCTGAACGTCTCTCAGCATCAAATATCAATTTGGCTTTGGTCTTTACGTTTTACCTCCTTCAGCATGACGTCATAAAAGGCATCTCCGAAGAGTTCGCCCTTAGCCTCTGACAAGGCTGTGTCATGCTTGAGAATGAGACGTTTAGCCTTCTTGACATCCTTAGAAAGTTTAGCCAGAATGTTTAGCCTTCTGTTGTAATTCATGGAGACATTAGCCTGACCGATAAGACAGGTGGTTTTCTACCAATTCCAACAGCTCAAAGATGTCTAAATCGGCGGGGATTCACCTCTGCGGATCTTATCAAGGTTATGCCACAGGTGACATAGAGGCCCCATGGAATTCAGAATCCGCTTTTGAATAAATTGAAGGGATTGGTCAAACTTTTTCTCGAGCGACTTTCCCTTAGCCTCAAAGAGGTCGTCCAGATATGGATCCAGAGAAGGTGTCTGAAGACATTCCTCTGAAGGGACAGGGAGATCCTCTAGAATATTTTCTTCTAGTTTGGAATCCTGGCAGAAGACAGAGAAATTTCTCTGAGTCTGTCGAGAGAGAGAGTATGCGGGAGACACCATTCTGATGGGTCTTTGGCATCAGCTAACGAGAAGGGGACGAATCATCGAAAGTCTCTATTGTTCCTGTTTTATTGATTACCGGTTTTGACGAACGATCCCTTTATCCCCACGTTGATTAAGTAGCAGACTCAACGTAAAGATTCGTCCGAGCCGAGCTTACATCGCCGAGGGGAAGATTCTGATCCTGAATCTGACTCAAAGTCAGAAGCAGAAGCCACCCGTGCGCAAATTCGAGAGCACGTTTGTGCTGATTAGAGTGGCTATCCAACCCCAAGTCTCGCTTTGTTGCCCGACCCGATGGTTGGGGTTGATGGGACTTGCCCAAACCATCCACGTGGTTTTCGACATATCATCGGTTGCAGATGTATGTAAGCCTCACGGGCACATTTTTCTGCTTAGGTATACCATCTAGGTCCTGTATGGACCCTTTGATGGAAGAATAGTTATTCATACCAATCTATGCAAGTGAAAACGATCAAAACTTACGGAATGGCCGGCTCACGTGTCTATCTACATTGAGGCCATGATGAAGAAGGGTTTATGGGTAATTTGCCTCGCGAGATCTCGCACAGCGAGACTTCGCTAGCTTTAAATATGGCCTACTTCCGGATATCATGATGAAGATACCAATATCACATCTACTATGTTTATGACATGAAATTAGATATATTCAGAGACTAAGCCTTAGTCTAACACTCTGGGTCAGGCGAACCAGCGAAGGATTGGGGATATTTATATAGGGCTGCCGTGGTCGGAGCGTGTGTGGATGCGCACCACTAAAACGTTGAACTCAGTCTCATTGCATTTTTTTCTGTTTTCCTGAGATGTTCATGATCTACATTTATTGTGCAGACAATACCTTTCTATCTCGTCTCTACCGGGATGTGTAAAAAATAAAACGGTGATGACGCTGATAATTCTACACTTAAGCCCATTCTATTTTTAAGGTCACAACAGACGCGTTGGAATGTAACGGTGGTATGACTTTGTTCATCTATATTTTCATTATTGTTCACTGTGTGTATGGCCTAAAAGTCGGGCCGGGCCGGGCCAAGGCGGGCCAAATGTATTATTGGCTAATAAACCCATTAACGAAAACCATGCCTACAACTAATCAGTGCAACATACACTCATGATAATAATGATCAATCGGAAGCAACAAACGCGTACCATAATAACTTTATTACGAGTAAATCGGCTAAATTCCAGGAAGACGAGAAGCCTGTGAACTGGCTGACCCAGGTTACGTCTAAAAGTGGAATCGTTAAACGAAACGGGATTTAATACGTATAAATACGTATCCCGATACACATTTCCTTTGGCCCGAAAATGTTTTTACATCTATATCAAATCACATACCACCCCATAAATTCACTATTCATCGTATTAAAGCATGCCCACATTGAAATGATACGATCTCTTCCCCACACTCTCAACATTAACTCGGCCACAATTTTCCGCCCGGCTTGGCTCGAGCCATCAAAAGCAACACGTACGTATCTTGTGTTAAATTCCATAGACTGGTATTATATCTTCCTAAATATCTCTTTGTAATGATATAAAATGCAACATATAAAGAAAACTGCTCCGTTAACGTGAAGCCCTTGTCTCTCATTTTTCAACATAACCTCAATCAAAAGTGTTTAGTCTCTGTTCAGCCCGACTTGGTCCGGGCTGTCAAAAACAACCTAGACCTCACAGATGTATCTTGAAATGTGTTGAAATCCATAGATTGGTATTGTATCTACCTAAATATCACCTTGTAATGTTATCAAATGCAACATGTAAAGATAACTGGTTCGTTAAAGTTAGCCCTTTTCTCTCTCCATTCTCAACATAGCCTCAATTTAGTCTCTGTTCAGCCCGACTTAGCCCGTGCTGTCAAAAACACCTTAAACCTCACACATGTATCCTGATTTCTGTCTATATTTCTAGAATAGAGTTATATCTACCTAAGTACGTCTTTATAGAGTCTCAAAGCGTTGTATTTGAAGCAAACACCTTGCTCAAAGTGAGGCCCTATTTTCTATACATTCTCAACAAAGACACAGTATCACAAGCGTTCGGTACGCCTTGGCCCGGGCTCTCAAAAACAACTTAAACCCCATGCATGTATTCTGATTTGTGTTTAAATCCATAGATTAGTATTATATCTACCTACATATCACTTCACAGTGTCTCAAAGCGTAGTATTTAAAGCAAACACCTTGCTCAAAGTGAAGCCCTATTTTCTATACATTCTCAACAAAGACACAGTATCACAAGCTTTCGGCCCGGCTTGGCCCGGGCTCTCAAACGCACCTTATACCTCACATATGTATCTTGAAATGTGTTTAAATCCATAGATTGGTATTATATCTACCTAAATATCACTTTGTAATGTTATCAAATGCAACATGTAAAGATAACTTGCTCGTTAAAGTTAGCCCTTTTCTCTCTCCATTCTCAACATAGCCTCAATCAAAAGTGTTTAGTCTCTGTTCAGCCCGACTTGGCCCATGCTGTCAAAAACAACTTAAACCTCACACATGTATCTTGAATTGTGTTTATATCCATAGATTAGTGCTATATCTACCTACATAATACGTCACAGAGTCTCGAAGCGTATCTATCACACAAGATTATCTATCACAAGACAACAGAGAAGCTTGATGGCATCGCTGCGCTGTGGAAGCCTACCTCTAAACCTAGAAAAAGGACGGTATACCAAGCCTGTCACCCGAATCCATGAGACATTATGCACAATAAGTGCTACAAATTCCGTTGAAGATGAGGTACATTTTGTGATATTATGTGCCCATTATGAAGATATCCGTGAAAAACTGTTTTATAAGTGTATGCAGATTTATGATAATTTTCTTAATCTTCCACCACAAGAAAAATTCTGCTGGCTGATGGAAACAAACCATATCCAATATGACTTTTGTAAATCTCTGCAATTCATGTATTATAGGAGGTTATTGCAAGACTAGCTTTGGTCTATATACCACTATAATCTATGGAACTAGCATGTGAATGAATGAATTGTGAATGAGTGATTCTTTTATGTATATTTGAATGTATTTTATTCCTTCTGTGATTTGTTGTATATTACCAACTGTCTCTTAAACAGGTGGTAAATACTGTACGAGAGATGAGAAAGTTGATATTAATAATATAGCTCCCTTTTAATAGTTGTGAGAGATCATGAAGTGTGAATGGATGTGATTGATGTATATATATACATATATATAATACATTTTGGCATACATTTATACAAATACAGGGTCAGTTCTGGCCTAAATGAAACCAGAAAAATATTCATATATATATATATATATATATATATATTTCTGGTTTCATTTAGGCCAGAACTGACCCTGTATTTGTATATATATATATTATATATATATATGAATATTTTATATAATACTTTTTATTAAATTTTACTGAAAAATATATGTATTTATCTGGTGTCATTTAGGCCAGAACTTGCCCGGTGTTTGTATAAATGTATGCCAAAATGTATTACTACATGTAACATATGACACTGTAATGAACTATTATTATTATTTCTAACTAAATACCTCTTTATTGAGGCTCAAAGCTTTGTACATGTATTTGAATCTAACACGTTGCTTAAAGTGAAGCCCAGTGTTCAATCTGGCTCTGTGCGGGCTAATGAATTAATACACCTGTTAAGTACACCTGTATCCAGCTTGCTTAATTGCCTCTTGTCTAGTTGCGATCAGCTAGGTGTTGTGATTCAATTAACATACTCCATTGTTGCCCTTAATTGCCATTCAGGGGCCTTCAGTGTTATTGATTGTACATGTTCCAGAGCATAAACATTAAAGAATACTAATACCGATACAGATGGCAGGCTGAAGCTATTGTGATATGATTTACACATATAATTAACTTTATAAATATCAGACGATATTACACCTAATTATATGACAGGAAATGCTTGAAAGAGGTGGGTTTTTTCAGTGGTTAAGAATACAGGATGTTCTCCGTACAGTTTCCACAGTATAAACATCAATTCACACTAGTACAGATATAGATAGCCGGCTGAAGCTATTCTTGACCATATTTGAACATATCAGTTATTTAATAAATATCAGAAGGTATCAGCTAAAATGACTTGCCGTATGAGATCTTATGGTTAGATAATTTGAACATACGAAAGTATGAAAACACATCGACGGCAATGAAACTGTGTTGCCCAGCTCAGGCTCGGGAGAACATTGTTTTCACTGTTGGAGCTTTGCCAAAGGTTACTCGGAGATGCCGTTTCCGGATGTTGTAAACTTCAAGCGTTTCGGATAATCCTGTTTTCCTGAACACGCATACAGACAATAGACGTATTAGAGAGAGAAGTATGTTTTCATTAAATCCACAGTGTCTCGCCTAACTTTCTCCAAATGCATCCATTTAAAACTGGCCGAGCTGGGCAGTAACAGCCTATTTTCAAATCATCTGATCTTTACATGTTGAATTTGATAACATTACAAAGTAATATTTAGGTAGATATAATACCAGTCTATGGATTTAAACACATTTCAAGATACATCTGTGAGGTATAAGGTGCGTTTGAGCGCCCTGGCCAAGCCGGGCCGAAAGCTTGTGATACTGTGTCTTTGTTGAGAATGTATAGAAAATAGGGCTTCACTTTGAGCAAGGTGCTTGCTTCAAATACTACGCTTTGAGACTCTGTGAAGTGATATGTAGGTAGATATAACACTAATCTATGGATATAAACACATTTCAAGATACATGTGTGAAGTTTAAGGTGTTTTTGACAGCACGGACCAAGTCGGGCTGAACAGAGACTAAACACTTTTGATTGAGGCTATGTTGTGAATGGAGAGGGGAGGGCTTCACTTTAACGGAGCAGTTATCTTTTCATGTTGCATTTGATAACATTACAAAGTGATATTTAGGTAGATATAATACCAGTCTATGGATTTAAACACATTTCAAGATACATCTGTGAGGTATAAGGTGCGTTTGAGAGCCCGGGCCAAGCCGGACCGAAAGCTTGTGATACTGTGTCTCTGTTGAGAATGTATAGAAAATTGGGCTTCACTTTGAGCAACGTTTTCGCTTCAAATACTACGCTTTGGGACTCTGTGAAGTGATATGCAGGTAGATATAATACTAATCTATGGATATAAATTCATTTCAAGATACATGTGTGAGGTTTAAGGTGCTTTTGACAGCACGGGCCAAGTCGGGCTGAAGAGAGACAAAACACTTTTGATTGAGGCTATGTTGAGAATGGAGAGAGAAAAGGGCTAACTTTAACGAACCAGTTATCTTTACAAGTTGTATTTGATAACATTACAACATTACATATTTAGGTAGATATAATACCAATCTACGGATTTAAACACGTTTCAAGATACATCTGTGAGGTATAAGGTGCGTTTGAGAGCCCGGGCCAAGCCGGACCGAAAGCTTGTGATACTGTGTCTTGAGAATGTATAGAAAATAGGGCTTCACTTTGAACAAGGTGTTTGCTTCAAATACTACGCTTTGAGACTCTGTGAAGTGATATGTAGATAGATATAATATTAATCTATGGATTTAAACACATTTTAAGATACATCTGTGACGTTTAAGTTGCTTTTGACAGCACGGGCCAAGCCGGGCTGAACAGAGACTAAACAATTTCTATTGCGGATTTTGTTTTCCGAGGACTTTATTTTCGTAAATCGTTGGGAATGGAGAGAGAAAAGTGTTTCACTTTTACTTTACTTTATGCCGTGGTATTTAGGTAGATATAATACCATTTTGTGTTTCATGTGTATTCGTAAATAGAAGCATATGCATACGCGCTGTCTATCTGATTTGGGCTGGTATAAGAATTTTTGTGTTTGTGAATGCATATTTTGTTGGATCCTTTATAACAAAATCCAAAATTTGTGATTTCAAATATTTCTTTTGATATACGTAATCATGTCATTGACACTCGCTGATATCCACGTCTCTTTAACATAAACATCCTGTGCTGATTCAGCCTGAGACAATAAAGGTTAATTAGGGAACCCCAATATCTTAATTAAGGAAAGAAAAGCAGTCAAAACACTGTCACATCCTGCCCAGGACCCCCGGATGTCACACGGTAAGAGAAGTAAGCAACCTTCCCTCATAGACATATCAAGGAAAACACATAACAACAAGACGGTGTCTTTACTACGGGAATCTCAGTATGTAGTCATTGTTGTTGTGTGGGTTTTTTTACCATTAACTATACATTTTCAATCAAACTATGCATTTGTGAAGGCAGGAAGTGTATCGACCCAAATGTGCAGGTTTCGTTTTAATATTCTGCAATCCATTTTTAGTATTACCCAGTGGCCCGGCCCGGCCCGACTTTTCCTGGCCCGACTTTTAGGCCATCACTGTGTTGTATGAGAACAACAGAGTTAAACTTTTGGAAACGGGACTTTTTCTTGTGACGGACTATTTAAAAGTACATGAACTTGTAACCTCACCTCATGGAAAGTGTTTCTGCCACATGTTCTGGAGTGTTTCTTTTCTAAAATATATATATTATATCATTTGTGATTCGTGGAGCCAAAGGTTCGATTTTGTTTATTAACGCACAGTGTGAATATGTACAATATAGAACAAACTTTATGGATAACAACTTCTTTTATTCGTGAGTGCGACGTTTCGATACAGATTCTTGTACCGATGTCAAGCATAATGGAACATGAAGAAGGGGGAAGTGTATATATACTGGATATAACAATGTAACAAAGAAAACAACATAATTAACATAATTGGCTAGGCAGAAAGCTGATGAAGCCAGAGAGTAGACAAAGGACAGGCGTGGAAGCCAATGATGTACAAATAATAATGAGATGTTTATACAGCAGAGTTTATACAGTAGATTGGGCTTGGTGGATGAGTGCATCATAAGCGGATGGAATGAAGTATCCTTGGTCTCTGTTGATCAAAGCAAGCCCCAATCATCAAATAGAGTGGTCTGACATCACCATTCTCTCCAACAAACAAACAGACTTCACTAAACGCAAGCTCACCGAAGCCATCCACATCAAACGCCAAAAGCCCACCATCAACAGAAACATCGGGTGAAAGCAGAACATAATTTGTCACCCAGGTACACGTGTGTGCTCTCAGATGTGCTTGGAGGCATTCTTGTGGAAAACTGTGGGAACCTTATAGCCGAGCGAATACAATGTATTCTTGAATTTAATAGGTGCCCAGGAAACATTTCACTGCCGTTTGGTTATTGATAATGAGCGAAAATGGGAGTGTACGCACAGATTAAACAATTACAAATGTAGCGCCAAATTTAGGCCCAAATTTATTCTACAATGCAGTTGGAAACACGAAATAGGATATAGAAATGCAGACAATAACAAAATACGTGTTAGCCTTTTGATAAAATTACAATTCTAATATTTAGCATTAAATACATTAATCTGCATCCGATGAGACGGACACGCTAGCCGCGCACGTGTATTTTGCGCCGCACACACAAAATAACTGTTACACGAAATAATACGCGCGATATGAGATGGTGTACCACGCGATAAATATAGCCCGCCACCGCGGTCTCTTGACGAGAGGGAAAAGCGACAAACACGCCAACCCCCCAGTTCACCTTAACTTCCGGTTTCTTGCTGCGGCGGGAATTTTACATCCATCAACTTTGTTTGCATACTTTTTCCATCTTACACGTGCGTGTATGTAAGTATGTTCCTTTACACAGAGTTTCAAAACAATAATTATGTGTCAGATCAGAAGTCCGGCATATGTTTATCGCATGATTCATTAATTTGGTAAACGTAGCGAACCGCCGAATGTCGGAATTAGGGGTGTTGTGGCTTCATGATAGATCATCTTTCATTTTCAGCTTATCCGAATTTCCTCGATAGATCAACTGTACAATATTTAATTACCATGTTTGGGCATCCGGGTATTCACTAAATGAATGAGACCCTGTGTGCGATCATGCCGATTCATGGCAATCGCAGTCGGTGGCGTTCGAAATATATTGAAAAAATAAGGAGTATGTACACCATATGTTGAAAAATTATCTGTTGCCCTGCCCCACACCCACCCCTAGTAGATCTATACATGTGTACATTGCTGGTCCCCCTACCTCCCCAGAACAAAATGGGTGACCACGGTGACACATACACACGCACACAATCATCATCAGCAAAATTATGAACGGTCCCTTACATTCAAACATCTAAAGGAATGCAGCATAGTCATCATGGTCATCATAGTAAAAATTAAATGTCAACATTTTGGACCCTGGATTTACAGTGAAGTGTGTCTTAAAACAAAAAAATAACCATGACCATTCGTGGGCCAGCAGTCCTGAAGGTACTACACACCACATCACCTGTCCTGGCCCAAGTGCACGGTGGTCAGTTAATGGAGAGCCTGGCCTTTGTGAGACAGTTGACTGTAAGCATTGTTGATGGAGGAATTGCCTTTGTTATGTAATCCCTGCTTATAATTAAGAATGTATCAGACAACTTACCCCAAACCCGACATAAATGATTTTGAATACCTCTAGCCAGGGGTTATGTTTAACAGAGAAACAACCAAACTCAGGCAGGGGCTACAGGTGGAAATTTGATCATTTACAATTCCATTGTATAAAGTTTAATGGTGAGGTTGTCATGGTTACTATGCCCATGGTAGTTAAAATGATCATGTTAAGACTGCCTATGATATGTTAGGCAAAGTAACACCTCATAAAACCAACTTCCTAAAGATTATATACCAGGCATGGTACTGGTAGATTATGCTGTTACCACGGTATGGTACGTGTTGCGGTACAAAGCCTTCGGTTCGGTATATGAGATATGATCATAATGCAGAAAACTGACAACAGAGCTTTACAGAAATGTGTAGATTTTGACAAAATGATTCAATTTCTAGACATTTTAGAAAAGTTTTTAAATGGTTAATAAAATAACAAGTACGAAAACCGAAATTCCAAAATACCACAGTTCTACAACTGCTAATACTGCGGTATACCATTTCACCCCTAAGGCATGGACACACATCAGTCATTAACCATCTTGAAAATATGGATGATTCCACATTGTCCACCTGTCTGTTTTCATGATTTCAGAAAATGGGTCAGTTCAACGTTTTTTAATGATCCACTTGTTTGATACTATGAAGTCTATGAAAACCCTATTTGTCAGTCTCACCATCAAACAGTTGATGGTTACGGTCATCGACATTACAAAGAGGCAGGGTGGGTATTCAATCCTTTTAATAATACAAATAATTCATACAAGCTGAGTGTTTTATACTTGATTTGTAGTCAAAGATGAGAGATCGGTCACAGTTGAAGAGAAAAGCTCCATCAGGAAAGACAGAATTGGTAAGAAGAGTTAATCATGAAGACGACTTGACACTTTTAAATCCCACATGGAAAGGTGTAATTTCCATTTGACATTTGGGGATGTCCTTGTAGAACACCATATCAATGTATAAGTAACATGTTAACTTCTTTTCTGTATCAATACAAATTTATCAATATTCTTTCTTACCTTATTATTCTCTGCCACAGAAATGTCTATATTTATTAGGATTATCATGGCGGTGGGTAATGAGAAGTAAGAAAGCATTTATCCCCTTGAACGAAGTTCATCATGTTTGTTGTTAGCTTTGAATTGATTCACTGCAACTCTCTGCATCAGTCATTTGCATCTATACACATAATGATTACTTTTTGTCCCCCCGGCATGTAATGCGAGGGGATATAGTAGATGCCTCGTTCGTCCGTCGGTCCGTAATCATTTTGTTTCCGGAGCATATCTAAAAAAATGTTCAATATTTTTCAACAGAACTTGGTAGATATATCAAACAGAACCTGAAGTGGTGTCTTTTGCTATTAACAGATTTTTGGCATTTTTATTTTTTTTGGTTTCCATGGAAACGAATTGAACTTAGTCTCAAAAGGAGGGGTGACCTTCGTTTCCAGAGCACAACTCGAAAACCGTTCAATATCTTTCTACAAGACTTGGTAGATATATCAAAGAGAAGCTAAAGTGGTGCCTTTTGCTATTTACAGATTTTTGTCATTTTTGTTTTTCCCGGTTTCCATGGATACGATCGGACTTAGTCTCAAAAGGGAGGGGTGAGCATCGTTTCTGGGGCACAACTTGAAAACCGTTCAATATCTTTCAACAGAACTTGGCAGATTTTACGAGGCAGATCTTTAAATGGTGCCTTTTGCTATCAACAGATATTTGGCATTTATGTTTTTCTTGTTTTCCATGGAAACGTTTTGGACTTAGCCTCAAAAGGGAGGGGTGGGTTTCGTTTCCAGAGCACAACTTGAAAACTTCTTAATATCTTTCAGCAAAACTTGGCAGATATGTGAGGCAGATCCCAAAGTGGTGCCTTTTGCTATTTACAGATTTTTTGCATTTTTATTTTCCCCGGTTTCCATGGAAATTATTCGGACTTAAAAAAAGGTAGGGGTGAGCTTCGTTTCCGGAGCATTATTCGGGAACCGTTCAATATCTTTCTACAAGACTTGGAAAATATATCAAACAAAAGTTAGAGTGGTGCCTTTTGCTATTTACAGATTTTTGGCATTTATGTTTTTCATGATTTCCATGGAAACGATTTGGAATTAGTCTAAAAAACATCAAGCTGGATACGGTAACTGTCAGATGATTCGTTCTTTCATATTTGTGGGAGCCGGGGAGATATGTCATCTTCTGATGACTCTTGTATTATCAAGTGATAATTCATGATGATTATTGTTACCTATGATAACAGTAAGAAGTTGTTGTGTTGCAGACGGTTACGTATACTCTGTTATCACTGTTGCTGTTCCAGCCGCCAGTATCAGACTTCGAGCCTGTACATTTCGTGAGATGTCACTCTGCAGACAATGACCCCAATAACAATGTGGCGAAGGTGTGGCGATGTGCGTTTGAACCAGTAAAAGGGAAACCAAGTAGGTGCAGAGTTGCTTGCCTTGCCCACACAGGCAAATTGACAGTTTTGTCATCTTAATTGTATACAGTGCTATTTGTCAATTTCCAAGTTTAAACAACAATTTAACTAGAAATCTGTATGTAAAGAATTCAATGTGAAATCAACAAACAAAGAAATGTTACACGTTAAAATACGTTAAAATATGGTATAGTCCTGGCTGTCCCGTGAACTGTGTCAATATTTTAATGTTAGTTTGTTAAACAACATTAATATTTTTAGGACAAAAATTCTGCAAAAACCTCACAGAGTGGGTATGATGTTTTGATTATGATCAGTGTTTCATTGAGTATGTTGTGATTATTAGTTTTCGAGTTAGATTGCAATTCATCAGTCCGCTTTTGAGCCAAACGGACTATACTTGTTGGTCCCTGCCTGGCTGGGGACACCAGAAATGGCTTAACACATTGTGCCCATGTGGGGCATTAATGGGTACAACAAGGACTGGTCGGCATGGAGTCAGTATACTGTGTCTGAGGGGTATTCATGCTTAACTGCAGCATGGTATCTCAGTGGGCTAGCACTATAAAACCAGCTTAGTCTGGACTAGTACAAGCAGCCACATATACACGCATTGACGCATGCACGTCGTCATATGAGCTTAAATATTCTTAAGTCGCGACGCTGATCCCCATTTCACCTCACCTCACCTCACTACTCTGAAGACTTAGTATTGTAGAATTCTGCAGGTCTGCAGACAACATAAAACGTCCCTAGCTCTCCACTACAGACAACATACAGCCTTTTGAGCTCTCCAGTTGAGCTCACACCCATAACAAAGTGACCCTCTAAACTCACCAACATTTTCTTGTAGATGAAAGCGGTCACATTCTGGCAACCTGTGGCAGCAACATCGTGTGTTTCATTGACTGTGTGACAGGGAGAGTCCTCCGCAGATACAAGGACACAGACCAGACTGAGGTAACCAAGGGCAACAGACAGATTTACCGTTACCGTTGCCAAGGATAAAACACAAGGGCTACTTATCATGTTAAAGGAGAATCTGAACGAAAACAAAACTTTTGATATATTGTACAGGATATTCTAAAAGTCACCTTCCGTGATGAAAACTGAACAAAAAGTTTGTAAAATAGCAATAAGAACACAAAAAACGTACTCGTATTTCCGCCTATTATGGAAACACCTGACAGTTAATGAGCAGAGGTTGCATCACGTGACATGACGTTATATGTGCCTGTTGCTGATGGCTGCCTCTTTGATTTTACCTCACAACTTAACAGTGTCCATGGATTCTGAAGCAGTAAAAGGTGATGTCATTTCTGACATGGATGGTAGACCGTATAAATACAATCCGATTTTACATCTTGCAAGAGAATCTTCCAGTGAAGATGATGAAGAAGAATCAAGCGAAACGGAGACACCGCTTGAGTTCAAAATAAATTTTAAAAATATACCTTATCATTTAACAAGAATACTATTTGACAGCAAAATGTGATACAGTCCCAGCCAGCAAACCCACCCCTATAAGTATATGACCAGTCCCTAAGAATTATATTTTTTGCAGTGTTTGCAGTTCCTTTTTTGTCAAATGGGTGACTGTAGAGTGTCTGGGATTTAAAAACACAATAATTATGCTTCAGACGGGGGAAAATAGAAAATAATTGCTACAAAATTTACACTGAGTTATTTTGTTGAAAAAAAATTAGGATCCTAGTTCTCATTAATAACGTAGCAAGTCTCCACACAAGATCCCAGCCTGGTCGAGCAGAGATAATATTTGCGACGCAGATAAGTTATTCCCTGAAAGCTGGTGAATTATAAAATACTTGTCAGGACAATGTATGTTTCCCCAGTGTTTGGTTGTGGAAATAGTTATGGTACTCGGCCATAGCCTTAGAATGGCATCTTGTCAGCCAATGTGAACACACAACAACTTTCACGGCACACACTACTGACAAATAGCGAGTCTGATGCCGACATGCGTAATTGGACAAAATGAGAAACAATGAAAGCAGCAAGTACTTCATGATTTGCCGTTGTATTCAGCAATGTTTCGGGTAGACTGCATCATTTAGGGCTCCAAACTGAAAAGAACTTCATAGCTAACAGTTTCAAGCTCATGTGAAATCTCTTACTGATTTTGATAACTATCTCATGGGTTCCAGTGGAACTGCCCCAGCTACAAATGCCCCAGCAAATTTGGTCATTCATTCTAATTAGGTCAAATTTATTTTAAATGATTAAATATATGCCGTAAATGCATAGTTTTTGTCAACTTTGATATTATGTTCTTCATATAAAAGTTATTGAGAAGTAATATTTCTGATAAATGTTCCATTAGTAAACTCATACCTATGTATATACTTTTATATGAAGAACATAATATCAAAGTTGACAAAACTATGCATTTATGGCCTATATTTAATCATTTTAACTAAATTGGGGCATTTTAACTACACCCCTGGGGCAATTTGACCAAAACTCCGGGGCAATTTGACAAAATTTGCTGCCCCTCGTGTGCTTGTCTCTTTCATATGCGTCTGACTCGGAATGATCGGACCATTTCTCCTGCCTAATTCTGTCTCTTTACTTGGAAAACGGAAGAAATGGTGGCTTTCCATTGTTTGATGATTCCGTGCATCCCCAGGCAACAGAATACACCATCGTACCATTTACAAAAACAACAGAAACAACACGATTTGTACTACTGTAGCGCTAGGTCTTTGGCAATATGGCGGACTCCAGGCACATTTGACGTCATGAGCGGAAAGGTTACGTGGTTTCCAGCGAAATATGCATAATGGCCGAAGCTGAGATTTACAGAAACTGTTTTCGCGACTAAAACATAATTATACATAATTTTTAATTGAAAATTTGGGAATATGTTTCTGATGACTTTATCTTTCACCCAGCAAATTATTGCAATTCACTTGTATTTTTTAATCTGTCAAAACATTCTGACAGAAAAGTTTTTAAAATTTTCAGTTTTGTACAAAAGCAAACCTTTTTGAAAATCAGTCTGCTTGCCTGAGACATTTTTTCAAAGCTCAGGGACAGGGATGGACATGACTTCCTTTGAATATGGAAACGGTTGATTGTCCATCACATACACAGGCAGCATGGGACTGTGCTCATGACATTCATAATATCAGTCACTTGGTTTGTCAGATCAAAACTTGATCATCGACAGGTCACCATTATACAGCTGGAATATTGCTAAGTGAGCAAAATGTGTGTAGCAGAGCTCTTCATTATCCCTTACATGATGTAGGAGTAGGGTCACTGGTGGCTGAGTGGGTCGGGTGTTCAGTTGGAACAGTATACATGATGTAGGAGTAGGGTCACTGGTGGCTGAGTGGGTCGGGTGTTCAGTTGGAACAGTATACTCTGGTTTATATCCTCACATGGGAACAATGTGAGGCCTTCTCAAATGTGATATTTTCAGTTATAGCTAAGCATGTACCTGCTTCCTAATATTGTTGCACAAGAGTAAACATTGTTGACATGTCAATGGTTGAATTAATCTGCAGACATTCTACACGCTAGCATGGACGACAGTACCTTCCCAGATAGATGCACGTGAGACAGTCAACATCCTGGCAGTTGCAGGTGAGTGAGGGTCATCTCCATCACTGGGACTTAACTACTTTGTCACTTCCTTTTGTGGGGGTATACTGAATGAAGTGTGTATCCTTTAAATTCAAAATGTACTGCTAAATACATGGACTGGAGGTCCCATGGGACATCAAATTAACTCTTGTTTTGTTTTTGTAGCATGCTTTGTTTGTTTGTAGCTTGACTGGCATTCAGTAATATTAGATAGATAGATAGGTAGATAGGTAGATAGATAGATAGGTAGGTAGGTAGATTTATAGGTAGATAGATAGATAGGTAGGTAGGTAGGTAAATAACTGGGTTTGGACCAGTCTAACTACTAAAATTGTGTCTCCACAATTGTCCAAGTCACCAAGCTTGAACTTCAGAACCAACAGGTCACCTTTTACAGCGGGTATATGTAGAGGATTGTTTATCCCATGTCAGCTAAAACCTCTGCAAGGTTGTAGTGTATACATTACTGGATTATTTCAGTGGTCAGTAGGTCTGTTTTAGATTTGGTACGGTCATTCAGTGTGTTTTGTTTCAAACAAAGGCAGAACCCCAGTGAGTAGTGCAATGCTTCAGGGTAAGTGCATTGTTTATAGGAGCTAGGAAACATAGTATATAACTTGTCACCACTTTGTAGCCATCAAAAGTTTGAAGGGTCATCTGTGACTCAAGTCTTCATGTCTCGGACTCTCAAGGCAGCCTGAGACTCATGAAGGTCTGGATTAGAAGTGATCTTCAGCAACCTATGCTTGTCCTAAGAGGCGGCTTACGGGATCAGGTGGTCATTATGCTGGCTTGTTTGACACATGTCATTGTATCCCCATTGAGGAGATCAGATCAATGCTCATGCTGTTGATCACAGGATTGTTTGGTCCAGACTCGATTATTTACAGACCACAACCATATAGCTGGAATACTGCTGAGAGCGGCGGAAAACAACAAACAAAATAACTTCGCCTGAGGTTTTTGTAAACACACAAACAGAACTACCCATCCAGATCACGCTGTTGACGTGAGTGTTATTGCCCGGGGTTTGTTTCAGGGGAGGGTGCTGCCATCAAGCTGTTGCATCCTCACCAACTGGTCATGTATGGCACACTTAGGGGCCACAAGAAGTACATCAGTTGTCTCCTCTTCCATCCCAGAATCCATCACTACCTCTTCAGTGAGTATTGTGACTTACAGACTTGGTTATTGTCCACACTTCACAAGCGTGTATACACTTGTTCTTCCATCACCTGTGAATACATACCATTGATATATGACGATGGAGTGATGTGTGTCTATTCTTAGCAGACAGTGAAGTTAAAGGAATTTGAGAAGATTAGTCGGTACCACTGATGATGATATTCACAGTATCACTGGTATAATCCATCCCCTGTACAAACTTATTGGTAGCTATGTCCATGCAGGAGACAAGTTTTTATGTAATAGTTTTTAAACTTTGTCATCTATACTGTAATGTAAAGACAATTCTTGGCAATTGATTTAAAATATTTGTTTACCATGTAAGAGATTGATTAAAAATATGTACTTGGAGCTGTCACTGAGCATGTTTAAGGTATCAAACATGGTTTGTACTGCTGTAAATCAGCTGATGTTTAGGGTATCAAACATGGTTTGTACTGCTGTAAATCAGCTGATGTTTAGGGTATCAAACATGGTTTGTACTGCTGTAAATCAGCTGATGTTTAGGGTATCAAACACGGTTTGTACTGCTGTAAATCAGCTGATGTTTAGGGTATCAAACATGGTTTGTACTGCTGTAAATCAGCTGATGTTTAGGGTATCAAACATGGTTTGTACTGCTGTAAATCAGCTGATGTTTAGGGTATCAAACACGGTTTGTACTGCTGTAAATCAGCTGATGTTTGACTCCAGGTGGCAGTAACGATGGCTTTATCATGATGTGGGATATCGGCACCCCAGACCTCGAACAGAACAGGACAGATTTCAAGTAGGTTATAAATACATCCAGTACTAGAAGGGTAACAAGTACTGTATTAGGATGGGAATTACTGTACTGAGGCAACAAGTACTGTACTGGGGCAACAAGTACTGTACTGAGGTAACAAGTATCGTACTGAGGTAACAGGTACTGTACTGAGGTAACAGGTACTGTACTGAGGCAACAAGTACTGTACTGAGGTATTAAGTACTATACTGAGTTATCAAGTACTGTACTGGGGTAACAAGTACTATACTGAGTTATCAAGTACTGTACTTGGGTAACAAGTACTGTACGGGGTAACAAGTACTGTACTGGGGTAACAAGTACTGTACTGGGGTAACAAGTACTGTACTGGGGCTGTACTGAGGCAACAAGTACTGTACTGAGGCAACAAGTACTGTACTGAGGCAACAAGTACTGTACTGAGGTATCAAGTACTGTACTGAGGCAACAAGTACTGTACTGAGGGCAACAAGTACTGTACTGTTATCAAGTGTACTGTACTGTGTATGAGTACTAACAAGTACTGTGTACTGGGGTAACAAGTACTGTACTGCAACAAGTACTGTACTGATCAAGTACTGTACTGGGGTAAACAAGTACTGTACTGGGGTAACAAGTACTGTACTTGGGTAACAAAAGTACTGTACTATACTGTATCAAAAGTACTGTACTGGAGGCAACAAGTACTGTACTGGGGCAACAAGTACTGTACTGTACTGAGGCAACAAGTACTGTACTGAGGGTATCAAGTACTGTACTGGGGCAACAAGTATTGTACTGGGGCAACAAGTACTGTACTGCAGGTACTGACAACAAGTACTGTACTGGGGCAACAAGTACTGTACTGAGGTAACAAATTGCAAAATTACTGGGGCAACAAGTACTGTACTGGAGCACAAACAAGTACAAGGCACTGTACTGAGATAACAAGTACTGTACTGGGGTAACAAGGGCTTACTGAGGCAACAAGTACTTACTGAGGTAGCAAGTACTGTACTGATGTAAAAAGTACTGCACTGGAGGTAACAAGTACTGTACTGGAGGTAACAAGTACTGTACTGGAGGTAAGAAGTACCTTACTGCGGGTATCAAATACTGTACTGCAGCAACAATTACTGAACTGAGGTAACAAGTACTGTACTGGGGTAGCAAGTACTGTACTGAGGCAACAAGTACTGTAACAACAAGTACTGTTCTGGGGCAACAAACTGTACTGAGTACTGTACTGGGGTGGGGCAACAAGTACTGCACTCAAGGTAACAAGTACTGTACTGGGGTAACAAGTAGTGCACTGAAGGTTACAAGTACTGTACTGAGGCAACAAGTACTCTACTGAGGCAACAAGTACTGTTGTGAGATAACAAGTACTGTACTGAGGCAACAAGTACTGTACTGAGATAACAAGTACTGTACTGAGGATAACAAGTACTGTACTGGGGTAACAAGTACTGTACTGAGGCAACAAGTACTGTACTGGGGTAACAAGTACTGCACTCAAGGTAACAAGTACTGTACTGGGGTAACAAGTACTGCACTGGAGGTTACAAGTGCTGTACTGGGGTAACAAGTACTGCACTCAAGGTAACAAGTACTGTACTGGGGTAACAAGTACTGCACCGGAGGTTGCAAAGTGAGATAGCAAGTACTGTTCACAACAAGTACTGTAATGGGGTAACAAGTACTGCACTGGAGGTAGCAAGTACTGCACTGGGATCACGTGTACTGCACTGGGGTAACAAGTACTGTAATGGGATAAGTACTAATGTGTGATTGTACTCGCTGGTCGATGGTACCATGTTTATGTTGTACTCACTAGTTAATTGCAATGTTTCGGTGTTGTAGACCACTACTAAAGATCAGCGTCCCGGGGTCTGAGGCCCTCAACCTGGAGTACAGTCTGTCTTCACATACGCTGCTGGCGGCGTGCGAAGATGGCTGCTTCGGGTGGAGCATGGAGTCAGAGTTAAAGGACATCCACAAGCGCAGAACAGCCAAAGTCATCATGTAAGACTTGAGTAAAAGTCAATTCATTAGGAAAGGTCATAAAAATATGGTTATGTTAGGTTACTGTCACAGGAACAGAAACCAGGCAATATGGCTTGACCTAAATGCAGAACTCGGATCTTGTCTTTCATCATTACAAGTTTTGTTCTTATCTTGAAATATATCAACTAATGATAAAAAATCATGACGTAATAAAGCTCGGAGATGTTTGAAGAAATCCTGTATTTTCGAAATCAGACAGCTTTTTAAAATCTTTGTGCTGATTTTGTAAAATATCACAAAAACTTAAATGTGCATTTTCAAAGTGTTTCAGTTAAAATATATAAGATAAATTCACATTACCAACCTAATAAAATCCTTTAGTTCTTGATATGTATGTGTCTTTGTTTCAGGTCATCTACCTATAAGTTTGACCTTCAAAGCCAGTCGGACACAGTCGATGGCCTTGCCCTTCTCCCGGGGGATGTAGTAGGTGAGACCATGTTGACACAAGACAGTCAACGTATATCTGAAATACACTACCTTAATCCTGACTAACAATGACTGAAGAAATTATTGTTAATTTTGTAATGTTTTTTTAGTGGGACTTTTTATTTGGTGGAGGGAAATAAAATGTTTTCAAGAACGTTTTACAGTCTTTGACTTCTATCAGGTGAAAGACTTGATTGGTTTCAGAGACCAAAATTCATCATGACTTAGTTTTCTCGCTGTCAGCCACAAGCTTGTCTTGACACAGCCTTGTTGCCTTTGAGACTGCTGTACTTTAGCTCTTAATGTAACTTCTCTGTCTCCTGTATCTGCAGCTACCAAGTGTGTTGGTTCCGGGTCGGTTCTCTTGTGGAGTCTACAGGACCATGTCAGGTCAAAGGCCAAGAGGTCAGGGTGCATCAAGGTTGAACCCCTGGCAGAGCTTGAGTACACTCACACTGATATTGAATATCTCAACATGGGATATGGTGGAGGTATGTATGCTTGTGTGTTATGTATGTTGTATCAGCAGGTCGTTATTCTTCATATTGACATACCACCCTCACTCCCAAGGTGGGACTAGGGACGAGGTATGTATGCTTGTGTGTTATGTATGTTGTATCAGCAGGTCGTTATTCTTCATATTGACATACCAGTAGGTATGTATGCTTGTGTGTTATGTATGTTGTATCAGCAGGTCGTTATTCTTCATATTGACATACCACCCTCACTCCCAAGGTGGGACTAGGGACGAGGTATGTATGCTTGTGTGTTATGTATGTTGTATCAGCAGGTCGTTATTCTTCATATTGACATACCACCCTCACTCCCAAGGTGGGACTAGGGACGAGGTATGTATGCTTGTGTGTTATGTATGTTGTATCAGCAGGTCGTTATTCTTCATATTGACATACCACCCTCACTCCCAAGGTGGGACTAGGGACGAGGTATGTATGCTTGTGTGTTATGTATGTTGTATCAGCAGGTCGTTATTCTTCATATTGACATACCACCCTCACTCCCAAGGTTTGACTAGGGGTGAGTGAGCCTTGGTTCACAGTTTGGATCAGGTGGCCCGTGTGGTTTTAGTCAGTTACCATGGCCTCTTACAGATAGTTTTGTTTTAGAAGATGTGTATTCCTCACTTTTATTGTAACTTTGAATTATTTAATTTTTAACTTACCTTACCTCATGGTAATGTGCATATTACCTTTTTTCATCCGATATAAAGATTGGAAACGTGATCGATAAGTATCCTTGTTGAATGCTATCATGAAACTGGTGACGTGTCGATCTCGTCTGGTGAGCGAAAGCACGCCCCCCAATCCCGTCATGTGACAACGAGAACACGTCACTTTATCCTTTATCGCACTGCAAGTTGGACGTGTGTACAATATTTCTGTTTTTTCTTTTCTTATTGTATTCTTTGTGGTTAGTTCATGCCACGGGTTTACTGCAATCAGTGCAAGTCTCCGAAGTCGGCTTTAGACCCCCATCCTGCTTGCCCAGATTGTCTGGTCGACTCAGTGTGTACTTGGACCTCTCGGTGCTCGTTTTGCCGGCACTTACCTTCCACCGACTTTAAAGCGTTCTTAGCTGCTCGGAACAAACGTTTTACTCAAGGCAAGCGCCTCATGTCTTCTAACGACGCCTCTGAGACTCCTCAGGTTCCTTCGACACCTACGGCTCAGCTGGGAACGTCTCTACGCCTTCAGCGGACTGGCGATCTACGACTTTGCCTCCCCGCCGGTCCTCATGTCCGTAACGCTCCAGAGCGATCCTCCTCACACAGGTCCAGATCGACAATACTGGACAATCGTCCATTGTCCAGAGATGACCAGCGAATCGGCAACGCTCCCGTCAACACTCCCCTCAACCTTAACCAAGCCATTCACCTGCATGGGATGCTCAGCGTTCTCCCAAGCGCGCAACGGAGTGTGGCGCTCGGCGTTCTTCACCTAGACGTTTCCTTCGCCGCTCCGGTTTTCCCAGGCGCTCTCCTGTACAGGACGTTCGGCGCTTCTCGCCTAGGCGCTCACCTCGGTGTTCACCTCGGAGACAACTTTCACCTCTTCATCGGCGTTCGCGTTCCTGATCACCTTTGTATAGGTCGCGGGATTCCTCGTCTCTTATGTCGGAGGCTCAGTTTGTTCCAGATTACGAGGAAGAAGACAACCAGTGTCTGACGCATTTGGGCATGGAGAGTGTTTACGCCTGGATAGCTGACAGACTTATCACTTGCCCGTCTCCAGGGTTGGATATTCCTCGTGCTACCTCCATTTGGGATGAACCACAGCTCCTTCTGCCACCGCATCCCATGGTTGCTGATGCCATTGCTTCACATGATGAGGATTTCCAAAAGTTATCTCTCAATCCTTCCATCAAGCCTGCTAAACATCGCCATCAGGATTACAAGGTCCATTCTGTTGACTTTGTGGATTTTGGCGGTACACAAGATGAAGCGGCCAAACGATTGTCGGATGCTTCTCAAGCTCAATACAAGGTCCCAGATGCCAAGTTGTTGGCGATTGATACGGAACTCCGTCGAACCTTGAAGCCCCTCTCTGTGCTTGGTTCGGCCACGGGTCCATGTCTCAAGATCTCTCGGAGGATAACCCTTCCCGCTTAAATCATCTTACCACTATGTTAAGGTGGCAGGCTAGAGTTCTGTCTGATGTGGTTGATCACGTTCGTTCGGCCTTAGCTACCACCACTGTGACTAGGAGGACTGGGTTACTCGCTCCCTGTACCTGGCAGGAGGAATTCAAGAAAAGACTGATGCGTGCCCCGTTTGAGGCTCCCACCTTATTCGTGGATAAGATCCCGGATGTCTTGTCTTTTCTTTTCAGAGCATGCCTACTTGACCCAAACTGAGATTGCGCTCCGATCTTTTCGTCACTTCGCCACTTTGTCAGCGCCAGCTACCAGGACCACCAACCTTTACCAATCCAGGAGGACGTTGGTTCGTGGAGCCTTTTGAGGACATGGCAGGGGACGTCCCAACGACTTCCAACGTCGTCCCGCTGGTAACCAAAAGGACTTGGGCAAGACCGACAAACCCAAGTACAAGCGCTGCTGATGTTTTGGGCGGTCACGACTGTGATTCCCGGCCCCAGCCGTCCATATCCACGATATACCTGTAGGCAGGAGACTCGGGGTCTTCTGGCCCAACTGGACAATCCTAGGAGACCCCTTTGTCACCAATCTTCTCAGACAGGCTACATGTTGCAAATATCCATGCCGCCGCCTTTGACCACCTTGCCCCGGTCTCACGAATATTCCATTGTTCAACACCAGCACCTGTTGACCAACATTCAGGCGTTGTTGGACAAGAAGGCCATAGAACAAGTACTAGAGCCCAGCAACTCCCCAGGGTTTTACTCTCCCATCTTTTTGGTACCCAAAAAGAATTCTCAGAAGATGAGGATGATACAAAATATGGCAGTATTCAACAAACTACCTTCCGGAGCCGCCACATTTTTGGATGGTATCTCTGATCCAGCTACGAACCAAACTGTCCCCGAAGGATTGGTTGGTCAGTCTGGATCTTCAAGACGTCTACCTACATGTTCCCATTTACGAACCTCACCGGAAGTTCCTAAGGTCATTTTCAACGGTCACCATTACCAGTGGAAGGTCGTGCCGTTTGGCATCTCTATGGCCCCGTGGCTTTTCTCGAATTACAGCACCGATTTCACGGTATCCTCAGAATCCTCAGTCTTGCTAAGCGGGGTCTGTCACTCCCGCTTACACTCAGGGAATGGCAGTCCCTACTAGGTCTGTTGATATGGGCTCAGGATCTTACCATCAGAGGGAAATTAATGCTCAGACTGCTTCAACGGTTCCTCTCGCCTTTTTTCCTCATAGACGACCTCAGGTCGCGGTTTCCGCTGCCCGTCATTTTCATCCCTTTCTTCAGTGGTGGACAATCAAGTCGAACATTTGCGGCGGCGTCTCTTTGATCGAATTCACACACAACCGCAAACTTTTTGTGGACGCCTCTCTGCAGGATTGGGGTGCTTACCTGGACTCTCAGTCAGTTCCGCCCTCCAGCTTGGGATCTTAACACGGTTTTACAACACCTTCGTTGACGTCCTTATGAGTCTGTCTGTGGCCTCCTTTGAGGACTTGTCCAGGAAAACAGTTTTCTTTTGGCGCTTGCTACTGCGGCCAGAGTTAGTGAGCTTCACGTCATAGATGTCACTAGGATTAGGTTTGAACAGACTCGTCACGGTTCCGTCCATTTTGGTCTTCTCTGGGACTTCATTGCTAAGAACCAGTAGCCTGGTCAACTGGATCGTATGTTTGTCATCCCTCTTTTGTCTTCTATAGTCGGCAGTGACGACTCCGATGATCTTGCGTTGTGTCCCGTCAGGGCCCTTAAAGAGTACATCAAGCAGTCAGCAGTCAGGAGACGTACCAGGAAACACTTTTTTATTCCGTTTTCTTCTGCGTCGAAGGGTGAGGTCAACAAAAATACCATCGCTTTGTGGCTTCGCTTGACTATCCTCACAGCTTACGACTCCGCTGGTTTTCCTCACCCAACTGCAAACAACCTGCACGAAATCCGGGCCTTAGCTTCCACCATGGCTCTGCACAGAAACTGCTCAGTCCCCACTATTATGGAAGGTTGCTTTTGGAGGTCTAACACAGTCTTCGCCAGCCATTATCTCCGGGATCTGGCAGTCCAGGATGTACAGGGGCTTCAGTCCTTTGGCCCGCTCGTGGTAGCTCAGCAACTGACACAGCCCTCTTCTCACTAGGTGCTTATTCTTTTTGTCTAATCATCTTAGTGATAGTTTTAAGGTTAACCCACGTTCTCTCGTGTTGTGTTTTCCTTATCAGGGGTTCTACCGGTGGATTTCTGTTCTTGTTTCAACGATTCCTGTTCAACAACAAGACAGTTTCCACGTCCCCGGTTGTGCTGTTTTGGGTCTGATAGTTTTGGCTGGTCCTCACTGGTGTCCGACCCTCCTGCCTTTCTGTTGGATCAACATGAACATTACCATGAGGTAAGGTAAGTGATGGATCATCTCCTCCCCGCTTTGGACTCCGCTCGGACATCAGGATTCGGATAAAGTGACGTGTTCTCATAGTCACATGATGGGTTTGGGGGGTGAGCTTCCCGGATGAGATCGACACGTCACCAGTTTCATGATAGCATTCAACAAGGATACTTATCGATCACGTTTCTAATCTTTGTATCGGATGAGCAAAGGTAATATGCACATTACCTTAAGGTAAGGTAAGTATTTAAATATCTAAAATATTTAGATTTTATTTTTTTTTGTTTGTTTGTTTGTTTGTTTGTTCTTGAAGGTGTTCATAACTCGTGAAAGTTTCTATTGCTCCATGTCTCTTCCAGGTCTACTGGGAGTGGGGGATGATCTTGGAAATGTCTACGTCTACAATGTAGCCACTCTTGCCCGGAAGACAGTGTCACCTTATGATGATATCCTGTGCCCTTCAACGGTATGGCAACCTGGTACCCCGGTACTCTGGGGTTTTGTCACAGTTCAGATACAATCCTTACACCAAGGAAAGCAGCATTTTCTGATGTGGCAGTTCATGTTGGATAGTCATCATATTCATTTGTTAAAAACTTCTCACAAAATGATTAAAGTGTCGTAATATGTTTGCTCTGTTAGCATCGTTAGTTTTGATTGAAAAGAGACATAAATATCTCCTTGATGTTCTTGTCTGTGGATATGTGCATATTCTGAAGATGAGTGTGTATTGCAGGTAGTTGAGTGGCCAGAAGTAGTGGCAGACTCAAGGACAGGAATTGACGAAGAGATGCTGCACACGAAGAAGGTAAACATTGACTATGTCTATATTTGTCGTCTGCCGCAACGCAGAACGGGAGACTATGTGTTCAGCAGCATGCGCTGTTGTACTCAATGTCTTCAAATTTGGTGACAGCCTACAATGGGGGATTACGCAGACACCAGTTGATTTGGGTCACCTTGACCTTATGTTCAAGGTCACCACGACACTTTTCAAACGTATATCTCATAAAACATTGCACCCAATCCCTTCAATTATGTCGACAGCCTACATTGGGTGATTATGCAGACACCAGTTATTTCAGGAATCTTGTATGTGACCACAAGAATAATAACAAACATGTTATAAATATTTCATACTTCTTTAGCTGCGGGGGACATTGCCATATTAGTGGCAACCACTATAATGTTGCTGTAGATTGGTTACACCTCACCTTGTGTGCTGTAGGACTAAAACACAATGAACAAGGTCAGGTGGTCAGTATGGCCGTGTGTCAGCTTGCCCCTACCCGGATTGTGTGCTGTAGGACTAAAACACAATGAACAAGGTCAGGTGGTCAGTATGGCCGTGTGTCAGCTTGCCCCTACCCGGATTGTGTGCTGTAGGACTAAAACACAATGAACAAGGTCAGGTGGTCAGTATGGCCGTGTGTCAGCTTGCCCCTACCCGGATTGTGTGCTGTAGGACTAAAACACAATGAACAAGGTCAGGTGGTCAGTATGGCCGTGTGTCAGCTTGCCCCTACCCGGATTGTGTGCTGTAGGACTAAAACACAATGAACAAGGTCAGGTGGTCAGTATGGCCGTGTGTCAGCTTGCCCCTACCCGGATTGTGTGCTGTAGGACTAAAACACAATGAACAAGGTCAGGTGGTCAGTATGGCCGTGTGTCAACTTGACCCTACCTGGATTGTGTGTTGTCAGACTCAGTTATTTACTGCCACCATATACAAAGGAACATGGCAAGCTGTGGCCAGAGACAGTGTAGACCACTCCTGTGATGATTGTTAAATCAGGGTTATTTTAATCAGAGTTCTGGTACAAGGAAGTTCCTAACACATGGGTTTATCCCACCTTTCTGTAGATAAACAGATCCCCAAATGGTTGTCAACAAAAAGTAGACCCAACAGATGAGAATTCCAGAAGAATATCCCCATGTATGCTTAGGCAAATGAGCAAGTCTGATTCTGCATGTGACATGTTAATGAAACTCCTAGTGTAGTGGTTAACATGTCCTGTTGATACGTAATACTTTTAACGCAAATCGGGTGGCCAGGCTCACTGACTTGGTTGACACGTCATTGTGTCTCAATTGCGCGGATAGATGCTCATGTTGTTCATCACTGGATTGTCTGCTCCAGACTCGATTATTTACAGACCACTACCATGTAGCTGGAATATTGCTGAGTGCGGCGTAAAACTAAACTCACTCACTCAATTTTTCCATCTCTTTGTAAGTGGGTTTGAATCCCGGTTCCCCCCTATTATATTTGTAGGTTTGTCAGCGGCGTACCCAGCATGAGTGTTGGGCCATGGTGGTAGCCATCAGATACCTGTATCATATGCTTTCCTCCGATGTTCAGCTGACACAGCTGGCATTAAACCCATCTCTCCTACCCATGGTAGCCATCAGAGACCTGTATCATATAGGCTTTCCTCCGATGTTCAGGTGACACAACTGGCATTAAACCCATCTCTCCTACCCGTGGTATCCATCAGAGACCTGTATCATATAGGCTTTCCTCCGATGTTCAGCTGACACAACTTAGTACGAGGGGTGATGGGGTAGTGTATTGGTTAAAGCATTTGTTCGTCACGCTGAAGTCCCCCACTTGGGTGAAGTGTGTGAAGCCCATTACTGGTGTACCCTGCCATGATATAGCTTTAGTACAAGGGGTGATGGAATTCACTAGTCACGCTGAAGACCCCCACATGGGTGGAATGTGTGAAGCCCATTACTGGTGTACCCTGCCATGATATAGCTTTAGTACAAGGGGTGATGGAATTCACTAGTCACGCTGAAGACCCCCACATGGGTGGAATGTGTGAAGCCCATTACTGGTGTACCCTGCCATGATATAGCTTTAGTACAAGGGTGATGATGGAATTCACTAGTGCGCTGAAGACCCCCACATGGGTGGAATGTGTGAAGCCCATTACTGGTGTACCCTGCCATGATATAGCTTTAGTACAAGGGGTGATGGAATTCACTAGTCACGCTGAAGACCCCCACATGGGTGGAATGTGTGAAGCCCATTTCTGGTGCGCCAAAACACACACACACACACACACACACACACACACACATCTTGATATTGCTGAAATGTTGCTAAAAGCGGTGTAAAACCATACTCACTCACTAGGATGTAATGTCGCTATGCTCAACGTAGCTGTTCAGTTATAACAGATCAAGGATGTGAAAGAAGACCGTTGTGGTAAATTTAGCTCTTTCTGATCCTATATTTTTGTCTTTTAAATTGCTCACCTTGCTCAACTTAGGTCATGGTTTGTACCCATCATTCAGTTGTCTGTTGATCTGTTGTTCACTTACATTTCCTCTAAAGATACAAGGCCGATGTAACTATATATAGTTAGAGTCAACCCAGCTATGTTGTCTCTATGACGTTAACACAACATTCCAACCAAGTTTGTACAGCTGCTGTTGTTTTTCTTATTTTAGGTGAGCTTGTGTCTGTATTGACTTCACAGACATAGTTATTTAACTGCTGTTTCTTGTATTCCAGCAAATTGTTGTGAATGGGGTGTCCATCAGCTCCAGTTCCGACTACATTGCATATGGAACAGACAACAACCTGGTGTGTATACTGAAGAACACGCAACGCTGAATACCAAGGGGAAGTAACCCTACACTGAGTCCTGTCACGACACACCCTCATTGAAATGTGAACTTGTGAACATTAAGGGGAAGTAACCCTACACTGAGTCCTGTCACGACACACCCTCATTGAAATGTGAACTTGTGAACATTAAGGGGAAGTAACTCTTCACTGATGTCATACAGCAGTGGAAACATTTTGCGTGTCATTAAGTCAATCAAATGTCATTACTTTCATTTGTTACCCGGATTTTGTTGTACAACTGATTTTTTACACCAAATCAATAATGACAAAAGAGATTAATGAGAGCAAGTTATTTGTGCATGATTCTAGCTTACTTGTTATGTCTGGGGAATATTTAGGTAATATTTCCTTAGTTCTAGAGGAGTGTTTGTTTCAGTCAAAATGTTTTTACAAGTTTGTAATACTTGCTTTATTCTTACAAATTTTTGAACCAATTTTCAAGGAATGTTATATTTTTTACTATTTTTAGAATTGTTTACTTTGGATTTTTTTAATGAAATTTGAGCCGACATTAAAGACAATGTGTTCAGCCGCAGATATTTTCATTATTAAGTACAAAGAATCCAAAGTCAAAATCTGTATGGATGTATTCAGTGATTATAGCTTGAGTGGCTCGTGTTTTACAGATAGAAATTATCATTCATGTCATGTGTGTGGCGTGTCAGTCTGTGTAAATATGAATTGTCAATTGTAAACTGTTTAGGAGATATGGTAGCCCCATTCACCGAACCCTGATGCTGTTGTATACAGACAAGTGATGATAAAATGTACCTGTTACCTGTTTCAGTGAGTGATGAAAGAGTTTACATGTTCTTGTCAGTTTTGTCTTGCTGGCTTGCAGAATAGAGTCCAGCCCTTCATGAGTCATTATGATCACACTTGTAGGCACAGTGTAGTGCTGGACAGGAGTCTAAACGTTCTCTCCATATACATTTACTCAGAGATGCCAACCTCTACGATAAAATCGTAGTTGCTACAAATTTTAGCCTCAAAGTACGCCAATACGATTGCACTAGAAATTCTACGAACTTTTGAAGACAATTCATTAAAATTCGGATATATAGACAAAAACATTTTTTCGTTGATTAAATACATTTTCGCCAAAAAGAGTTTACAAAAAGAAATGTAATGCTGATAATTATGAAATCTGCTGTTGGAGGTATGTGAAATTAAAGCTTCACTCTTTTTAGTGTCATATCATCATTCTCAGAATCCATCATAATTTTAAGTATTTAGTTGACTACTAATTTGATGGTTAATCTGCTAATTTTGATCTTTGAAACTACTATTTGTAACACTTTAGGGTTGGCATCTCTGATTTACTTGACACCACCCCAAAACGATGACATGTTTGTTGCAAGATTTATCGGATCATTTGTTTGAAAATCTTTGTTATGCATCTTATCACTGAGTCTTTCGATATGGATGGTATGACTGGCAGCTTGTGGTATGGATATAGATTCTATGTAGTTCTAATATCACACTGTTGAATTCACTGTCAGGCCAGTTGTTGAAGATGTTGGAGTTGCTGAATTGTGTCCCTTATGCTTACCACAAACCAATGGTCTTTGTTGGAATCCCAGATTCGACATGGATATGTTTCTAGGTGTACCACTGAAGGCTCAAGCTGACCAGGGCGGTGGGGTAGCCTAGTGGTTAAAGCGTTAAAGACCCGGGTTCGAATCTCCACATGGGTACAATGTGTGAAGCCCATTTCTGGTGTTCCCCGCCATGATGTTGCTGGAATATTGCTAAAAGCGGCGTAAAAAAGTCAGTCAGTCAGTCAGTGAGTCAAGCTGACCAAAGAGCTTCTGGTGTCTAAGCCCTGCATCGCATAAACATTCAGCTCATAACCCTTCTCAACAGACTGGCACTGATGTGATACTTGTGCTGACCAGTCAAGCTGACTGTTTAACACTTGTGGTACCACTCAACTGACTGTTTTTAACATGGTCAGTTGACCATTCAGCTGACTGTTTTAACACTTGTGGTACCACTCAATCAGATGACTGTTTTAACACTTGTGGTACCACTCAACTGACTGTTTTAACACTTGTGGTACCATTCAACTGACTGTTGTAACACTTGTGGTACCACTCAACTGACTGTTTTAACACTTGTGGTACCATTCAACTGACTGTTTTAACACTTGTGGTACCACTCAACTGACTGTTTTAACCATTGTGGTACCACTCAACTGACTGTTGCATGAAGTGAAGAGATGAGTAAGTATGAAGATACAGATGTCGTCTAGATGATGATTGTGGACAAAAACCCTGGTTGTTGACAGTACTGGGTTGTGCAATAAATATGTTTTGAAAGGTGTTGATTACTGTTTTGAACTTATGACTGAAACCTGGTTCAGTTTGTCATTTACAGGTGCAAGAGTGATGTTTCGGTATAGGTTCTTATACTGTTGTCAAGCACTCTAGACAGCTACACTGAAATGTCCCATCATAATATGATAAAGAAGTTGTCATCCATAAAGTGTTATACTATTCTTATCATTCATCTTCTTCTAAACTGCCAATCACACAGATCATGTCCTTGTTTTCCATGTCATCCTATTAATTCGTAAGAGAACTCAAGATCAAAGATGATGATCAATAATTATGTATTCAGTGCTTTTGATCATCCTCCAGCCAGAAATACCAGCATAAAGAAATGTGTTTGGTGTGCATAGACTATTGCTATCCTTCCTGATCCGGCAGCATACATTTGTACCTACCACATACATGAGTTTCCTCTTTGATTGGCTAGCTAAGGACAGGGGTGGAAATAACCCATTGCCCGACGTCTGAGTCCAGTGTTTTTTCTGTCGGGCAAGCAAATTTGTATATCACACTGTACAGGTGTCCAGTTGACTTTCCAATGTTAATTATGTTGCTTATTTTAAAAAATCAACAAGAAAACGGCTGGTATAGAGGAAAAATTATCAGGGCAAGTGATTTTACATGTGCCACTGTACCGGAGAACACTAGCAGTTTTAAAGTTATTTCCAACCCTGTAAGGATCAGCACTTTTCCCCAACTGCATTATTAGCGTACCACCAAACAATTCAGATAAAAAACACATTTCATCATAATGTGAGCTTACACAAGAGGGATAAAGAATGTTGCAGATAGTTATCTCCCTTGACTGATGCTCGTGAAGTACTCTTCCTGTATAACATAAAGATGTTTTTAAAGGTTGATCATTTATTACAATGAATATACCACTGGCTGTAATTAGTAACATTCTCAGAATTGAAAGATACTACTAATTGTAGATAATAATCAGAATTCTCTTAGAGCTACTCTCAAATCTAGAATATTCATAAAACCTTTTTCTTTTGACTTTGGATTACTCTCAAACTGACCTAAACAGGAATCTTCAGTTAGCTCTCTCAAGGACTGCAGCTTTCACATGAAACATTTTCATGACAGTTTTACCATTTACAATGACAATATGAATAAATTACAAACAATCATTTTTGTGACTAATCAGGAAAAGAGGCTCCTTACTGTACATCCACTCATATTTCCTGTAGTCCTTTTGCTCCACTAAAATAACCATTTACTATTTAGCAACAAAGTAAAATACAATTGAGGAAGTATGTCAGTGGCATAATACTGCATGAGAGTAAACATCCAAATATAACACTGATTTGTCTGGTTATGACAAACATCAGAGCTTAAAGTAACAGTTTCTCTTCGCTCTATGCTAAACTTTTCTGTTTAACTATTGAAACAAATTGACTGTTATGTGGTTACCCCTGTAAGTTCAAAATGGAATATTCATGATAAAAAGACATAAGTAAATAACAAATATACTTATATAATAAATGGTAAGACTTCGCAAATACACATTATTTCTCTGTACTGTAATGGTCCAGCTTATGTGTTTTTTCAGTTAGTGTATACTAACTCTCACCTGAGAATGTTCTCTGCATGTTAAGTATATTCATTTTAAAATACTGAGAATATTTCTCACTCTGGCCCGAGGTGTTACACTTGTATTTTAGGTAATATGTCACCACTTTTAGCTGATATCTTGAGCTGAGCCAGATTGTCTGCCCTTGTTCTTCCTATGTTGACAATAGCGACAGGTTTTCTCAGGCTGTGAGCCTTGTTGACAAATCGATACCCAGAATACACCTGAAACATTAGATCAGTCAAACAGAATAACATGGAGATGAGGTTACATATTGGCATGGAATGCATGAAAATAGTGACACCTGATACAAATATACATTACCAAACAATGGAGAACTAGTTCGCTGCAACACTAAGAAGCCATTGTGTTCATCCCATTCCCTATTTTAGACCTCGACATCTATGTCTATTTAAACATCATACAGGGCTTTGGACATTACATAATCCTTATTTCTATGTTTGCTTAGGCCTAAAAAAAAAAAGCTTGTGGTTCCGATTTCCTGACCGACCCTAAATATTCCCGCCGAGCCTAACGATTTTACTCACCACATAACAAATTAAATTTATTTTCTGACACATGTGTAGTGTAAAAATATTTTGTGGGAAAAAAAACAACCCCTACCTACCTACCCTAGTTCTGAAATGTAGGAAATCGGAACCACAACATTTATTTTTTGGGGCCTTATTGTTTAACACTGCTCTTGGCTATTTTCCAGCTATATGATGGCAGTCTGTAAATAATTCAGACTGGATGAGATAGTCTAGTGAATGATGTCATGAGCATTGATCTTTGCAAATGGTGAAATTAAGTCAACGATCCTGACCACCCAATTAGTTGCCCCTTTCAACAAGCATGGGTGACTGAAAACTAATTCTAACCTGGATTTTCACAGGTAGATCTCCTATTTAAACACGCAACTGCGCATTGAACGTTACCAGACTCATTACCTGATCCCTGATTTAAACACCTAACATGACTTTGGAACATTGAACAATATTGGCATGATCTAGATCTAGTACATTCACATACCTCTAATGATGAACCAATGACAAGCACCGCATCACTTTCAGAGACTTTTCTGAAGACGAAGTCCACAATGTTTCGAGCAACATTGTCACCAAAGAAGATTATCTCTGGTTTAAGAACACCCCCACAGCTGTCACATGCTGGCACCTTAAAGATATATGATTGTGTGCTAAGCTTTCACATGCGATGCTAAAAGATCTATTGAACGTAACAGTTAAATTAGATTATGCAATTAGAGATTTGTCTAAGGTGAGAAAGTGTCAGCATTGAATTTTTTAGCTTTGTGGTATTGCTAAGATGTCATTTCACCTGAAATACCTTGATACACCTGGATATTTTAGTCAATAGTGATAACACTTTTGCACTTTCGAAACAAGAAATCAAATTTGTGAAGCCCTGCCCCTCCCTGTTCAATGTATCTGACCCCTCCTGTCAATCTGACCCCTCCCTGTTGAATGTCAATGTACCAGACCCCCTCCCTGTTGAATGCATCTCACCAATTTGATGTTTTCCATCTGCAGGTATGTGATACAATAACATGCTTGAGGCTATATCTTTGGTCAGAGAGGGATGGAAATCTGATGATTACTAATTATGATCTGAGAAAAACCAAGCCATTACCTGAAATCCTTGGACTTGTTCTGCAGATAAGGAAACATCACCATCAGGGGCCATCTCAAAAGACTCTGCATGCCATTTAGGGTTTCTGTCTATTATCATCTCCTGCATTTCATGTCTGGGAAACACCTTCTGACATGACAGACACTCTACCCTATGTGCACTCCCATGTAACTCCGTCAACTGCATACTGCCAGCTTTATAGTGCAACGCGTCAACATTCTGTGTTACCAACCATGACACCTTCCTCTTCCTCTCCCAAGAACTTAAAGTCAAGTGCGACTCATTTGGCAGAAAGCAAGAAAACCGAGGCCATCCTACAAAATTCCTTGCCCAGTAACGCTGACGGATCTTGGCGTCTTTCAAAAAGTCAATATATTGTACAGGCCTGTTGGAGCTAGTGGCATAGAGACCAACTCCCTCTGATCGGTAGTCCGGAATTCCACTTTCAGTTGAGATTCCAGCCCCTGTTAGAACAAGGAGGCGTTCACTTCTGTCTATGAACTGCTGTAAAGAGTCGATCTCTTGCTCTGAGGCTGGTTGGCTGCTTGGAACAAAGTTTGTTGATGCTGCGACCTTTGATGCCAATTTGGGGGAATTAGAAAATTGTCTGTGGCACAGTTGACAGCATTTCAGAATCTTGGAACTCTTGTGAGGGAGTGTGAAGTTTAATACTGACATTTCTTTCCAGTGTTGTTCAAAACGAGGATTTTAACCTCAATACAAATTACCTAATTTATCGATTTTTTAAAGCATAATGTATTTGACAACTAAATAATTCTTTGTCAAAACAAGAACCAAGAGAGTAGCATTTTGTCACGTGTATTGACATGGACAGACTTTAACAGTTCGTGATAAAATGTGTTACTGAATTCTTCAAAGTTAACAATCGAATTCCTGAGCATATACATGTGAAGATGTACACTATTTCGATTTCTTGAACCTTACACAACACCTCTGCTCAATGTCACTACATGAAAACATTAGAGTTATCTTCCCAGTCGCAGCAAGCTCCATTTCAGCGCGTGTCACCTTTCTCTAACCACGATTAAGCGGCATCGCTGTAAGGAACCTAAACTTACCGGAAACACGTGAAGGCAACCAAAACAAATCGTGAGGGTGGACGGGATGCTTGTGACTTATGTAAAAGTGATTGTTTAAAGTAACAATTTTAATGTATTTGCAGTCCTTAAGGTATATATCAAACGTCAGTAACTCGCCAACTGTCAGTGCAGTAGCGACTGTACTTCATGATTACCGCCCGCCCACTACTAGAGGCATTATTAGCGCACCTGTTACCACTAATTTTAAGAGTGCTGCTACTTTTTGTCAAAGTAAACGCCACATCTATACGTATCGGTACATAAACGTTTCAAGATTAAGCCGGTTCCAGCAACAGTTTCTACCTTGCGTCTTCAAGAAGAGTTTCTTACATACTTCTCTTGAAGGAATGGAACTAAAAAAGGTTGTGAACATTCTTAACGAATTTGCAAACACAAGTTTGGCCGAGAGCTGGGACAATGTGGGGCTCCTTACAGAGCCCTCAGCTCCACACAACGTGAGGACGATTCTACTCACAAATGATCTGACGCCAGCTGTTCTTGATGAGGCCATAGAGAAGAATGCAGACTTGATTCTGTCTTACCATCCCCCAATTTTCTCCCCCATGAAGAGGCTGACGCAGAAGTCTTGGAAGGAGAAGCTCATTGTGAAGTGCCTGGAGAAAAGAATCGCCATCTACTCACCACATACATGCTATGACGCTCTCAGTGGAGGAGTCAATGATTGGCTGATCAGTGCATTTGGTGAGAATTAGGAAAGTTCTTTTCTCTTTCACCATCATTATATTTAGCTCAGTTGTAGGGTGTTTGACAGATGTGCTGACAGGCTTTTACTATTTACTATTATGATAAATACCATGCACCCATTAATTACAAGGACCGCCATATAGCTGGAATATTGCTCAGTGCGGCATAAAACTGAACTCTCTCACTCACTCACTCACTCACTCATTAATTACAATAGATTTGTTTTAAAAGTGACATATTCCCTTTTGTTTCTCCATAATATAGCACACACGTATAAGATTGGATATTTTCTATTGTGTTTCAAATCCGACTGAAACCTAAGCTATGGTAGTGAATGGTTCCAGATTATAGTTGCCGGTATAAAACTGACTTGTATCACACTGGATAAGGCAGGAGTCACCATGTTCTATCAGCTTGTGGATTTTGTTGTTGTTCCATGGTAAAGCTTGGCATTCACATTCTGGAAACTAACCTTTACTTTCAAAGGGACAATTTTTAAAATTCCATAAAAATTGCAGGGTCAGCAAAATTGAGCCCAGATTTGGTTGTCTGATTGCCCTGCAAGATACACTATCCGACAATTTCTTTGTTATAAATATACGTCTACCTACATTGTAACATTATGATATAGGTCATGTGGCCAAAGGGACTTCACATTTGAGTTTGTTATAACATTACTTTGTTATGAGCATTATAACCTTTATTAGGAACCGTGCATAATTTATGGCTAGGGGAGGGGGGTGATGATGATTTTCATGGAGAAGCATGTACAATGTGAATGAACCCCCCTAAACTTTATGTACAAAGTATGTGAACCCGCCCTGCATGTCATGTACAAAATCAATGACCCCCTTAGTGATTAATTTCTTAACTCTAGACATTGCATTTTGTTGACAGAAACAGAAGTAAGTTTGTTATAGACATAGTTTACTGTATTGTAGACACGAAGAGCACTAAACCGGTGGAGCAGAGCGAGGCGTGTGGGGAGTTTGGTTGTCAGGTTGACATTGTCCTGGAAACAGCTGATGCCACCAAGCTTGTCCAAGCAGTCACAGACAAATCTATACCCAGAAGAATCATCACAAGTCCCTTGTGAGTAAACACAACAACTCTTGAGGCCTCAGGAGAAAGGTCCTCATCAACCTGTGCTGTTCGTAAAAGGGATTTAATGGATAGCGTGTTTGGTCAACCACGTAAACTGATGTCAGGCATCATCACTCAAGATATCAATCATTGTCAATCACTCTCTGTTACAGTAGAACATGGTTATAGCGAACACGGATAAAGCGAACAAATTTAAAAGTCCCGTCAACAGTCCTTTATAATATCATTGAAATTATGCGTGAATAACGAACTCGTGAGTAGCGAATTAACGGCTATAGCGAACTGATTTACTACCCCCAAGACCCAATTAACGACGTGATTAGCGAACTCACTCAGTGTCAGCTCAGCCACTTAGCGGTACAGTATACATCAATCTAGTTGGCGGTGAATGAACATTGTTTGATGGTCATTAATTAATTAACATCTGGACATTATAAATGTAAGCTTGCATTTTCATTAAAAAATAAATTTATTTAAGTTGTAGTTGTATTATTTCAATTTTATTATAAAAATAAACTTCATATTTATCATCAACATGATATAGGTAATGTCTGAGAATGTCTACATCTCTACAATCCAAGATGGCGGTCAAATGTGAATAACGAACAACGGATATAGCGAACTAAATTTCTTGGTCCCTTGGAGTTCGTTATATCCGTGTTCTACTGTATATGGGGATTGGCTTGTCATGTCAGCTCCCTAGTATGGGGAGTATTTGGATGGGTGCTAAACTTTCAACTGAGCCCCTGTACACTCTTACTGAATTATCACACTGTATGATTCAGTGGTATTCAGTTATTTGCCTTAAATACTTACGTGATACAGGTGAACGGTAATTAAAGCTCAATTTACTGTCCAATGCTTATATTTTTTGCAGAGCATTACATGAGAAAACTGAACAGGGTGTGACCCGAGTGAGTGTGTCCTGCAGCAAGAGTGACGTCCCTTGTCTGGTGGACATTGCCCAGTCTCACCCAGCGGTCATCAGTATAGAGAAGCGGCAGATAGAGAAGGTATGTTGCTCAGAACCCCTGGGTTAGAATTATTACCCAGGAATAGGGTTGACAGACCTAGATTTGATTCGATTTTCGATATTGGACCCTCGATTCCATCAGTTTTGATTCGATTCTTCATAAAAGTAAAAACATCAGATTTCATTTAACTCCCAGAGTCGGGTTTTTAGCATGAAATCCATCGTCAACCTGGCGATGTCTACTAACAACAATTCTCATTGGATAATTAGCCAGGCTTCAACCGATCATGTTTCACCTTATTTCAGCACTTGAAACTGCTCAAGTTGGAGTCAAACTTTTGTTCTGACTGTGTGAAAATAATTTGTTAGGTATTCAAATATCGATAATGGTTAAAAAAAATCGAAACTAAGGTGTCAGATTCGATTTTTGATTAATCGAACCGAATCGTTGCAGCCCTACTCAGGAACAGTGCACTTGCCCTTAAGCCTGTTGCTAGCAAATTTTCATTTGGACTCAAGATTGTGAAATATCCCAAGCCAGACTGGCTTCTGAGTTTTAATGGTGATTTATTTATGCACAGCTCTTTAACAGTTTATCAAAAGAACAAAAAGTTCTCTCAGTTTTGGGATCTTTACAACGATTGAAAATATGAAGTAAAATTAATATCACTAAAGAATAGAGTTTATTTTATTTGTTACCCTCTTTCTTTATGTTTGACTCATGATTGGCATTTGGGGTTTTCTTCATCGATACCACCTCAAGAGCGGATTTCTGGAAAAGTATATTGAAAAATATTTAAAAAGTGACAGTTGAAATTCGCTGGTAATGTTATATTTATCAGCAACTATCCATACCATTGAGATATGTGACACTTAGTGTACTTGTGATAGAATTATCAGTTTTGTATAGGGTGACTTTCAACATTTCGAACCACGAGTATATATGTAAGGGAGATTTGGCAGTGAAGTAATCCTGTTTATCAAATGTCACTAACAGTTGGCCACTTGTTTTGTGTGTCAGGTTCCGCTAGTGGGTTATGGCATGGGTCGTGTGGGAAAACTGACTTCACCCCTCAGTCTTGGTGAAGCTGTGGCAAGGGTGAAGACACATCTGGGACTGGAGCACGTCCGTCTGGCAACTGCATCTGGTGAGTATACAGACAGTGACCAGGATGGGTGGATCTTTAAAGTTTATGATTTAAATTGTGTATTCTGTGTTTCTAGATTACGTTGTTATTCAATGCCAGTGGCAGAGTTAAAATCTGTTCCGGATGCATTTGGTTTTCTATCCAACAGGTTTATGATAAGAAGTAAGTGTACACACTTTCATAAAGGTAAACTGAACAGTCGTACATGAAACGACTATGTTTAATGGAAACATTGATTCACAAACTAATACTGGGGGTTCAGAAGCTGAATGGGTTATGATCGATTTCAATGAAAGGCACGGTGAAATTATTTCACTTTGTGACAAGCATGTGTGCGTGTTCATGCATGTTTGCTTTTACTATTACTATCTTTCGATGTATTTTTTTAAAACAGACACTTTGTCTGGAGAAGTGGTCTGCAACGAATAAAGATGTTGTCCCACATAAAGATGTTGTCTCACGCATAAGAATGTTGTCCCACCCATAAAGATGTTGTCCCACATAAAGATGTTGTCCCACCCATAAAGATGTTGTCCCACCCATAAAGATGTTGTCCCCATAAAGATGTTGTCCCACCCATAAAGATGTTGTCCCACGCATAAAGATGTTGTCCCACCCATAAAGATGTTGTCCCACCCATAAAGATGTTGTCCCACATAAAGATGTTGTCCCACATAAAGATGTTGTCCCACCCATAAAGATGTTGTCCCGCATAAAGATGTTGTCCCACCCATAAAGATGTTGTCCCTCCCACCCATAAAGATGTTGTCCCACATAAGGATGTTGTCCCACATAAGGATGTTGTCCCACCCATGAAGATGTTGTCCCACATGAAGATGTCCCACCCATAAAGAGATGTTGTCCCACATAAAGATGTTGTCCGACCCATAAAGATGTTGTCCGACTCATAAAGATGTTGTCCCAACCATAAAGATGTTGTCCCACATAAAGATGTTGTCCCACATAAGGATGTTGTCCCACCCATGAAGATGTTGTCCGACTCATAAAGATGTTGTCCCACCCATAAAGATGTTGTCCCACCCATAAAGATGTTGTCCACATACAAAGATGTTGTCCCACATAAGGATGTTGTCCCACCCATGAAGATGTTGTCCCACATGAAGATGTCCCACCCATAAAGATGTTGTCCCACATAAAGATGTTGTCCGACCCATAAAGATGTTGTCCCACCCATAAATATGTTGTCCCACCCATAAAGATGTTGTCCCACATAAAGATGTTGTCCCCCATAAAGATGTTGTCCCACCCATAAAGATGTTGTCCGACTCATAAAGATGTTGTCCCACCCATAAAGATGTTGTCCCACCCATAAAGATGTTGTCCCACATAAAGATGTTGTCCCCACATAAGGATGTTGTCCCACCCATGAAGATGTTGTCCCACATGAAGATGTCCCACCCATAAAGATGTTGTCCCACATAAAGATGTTGTCCGACCCATAAAGATGTTGTCCCACCCATAAATATGTCCCACATAAAGATGTTGTCCCACCCATAAAGATGTTGTCCCATATAAAGATGTTGTCCCACATAAAGATGTTGTCCCACCCATAAAGATGTTGTCCCATATAAAGATGTTGTCCCACATAAAGATGTAGTCCCACCCTTAAAGATGTTGTCCCACATAAAGATGTTGTCCCACCCATAAAGATGTTGTCCCACATAAAGATGTTGTCCCACATAAAGATGTTGTCCCACCCATAAAGATGTTGTCCCACATAAAGATGTTGTCCCACCCATAAAGATGTTGTCCCACATAAAGATGTTGTCCCACCCATAAAGATGTTGTCCCACATAAAGATGTTGTCCCACCCATAAAGATGTTGTCCCACATAAAGATGTTGTCCCACCCATAAAGATGTTGTCCCACATAAAGATGTTGTCCCACCCATAAAGATGTTGTCCCACATAAAGATGTTGTCCCACCCATAAAGATGTTGTCCCACATAAAGATGTTGTCCCACCCATAAAGATGTTGTCCCACATAAAGATGTTGTCCCACCCATAAAGATGTTGTCCCACATAAAGATGTTGTCCCACCCTTAAAGATGTTGTCCCACATAAAGATGTTGTCCCACCCATAAAGATGTCCCATATAAAGATGTTGTCCCACATAAAGATGTTGTCCCACCCATAAAGATGTCCCATATAAAGATGTTGTCCCACATAAAGATGTTGTCCCACCCATAAAGGTGTTGTCCCACATAAAGATGTTGTCCCACCCATAAAGATGTTGTCCCACATAAAGATGTTGTCCCACCCATAAAGATGTTGTCCCACATAAAGATGTTGTCCCACATAAAGATGTTGTCCCACCCTTAAAGATGTTGTCCCACATAAAGATGTTGTCCCACCCATAAAGATGTTGTCCCATATCAAGATGTTGTCCCACATAAAGATGTTGTCCCACCCATAAAGATGTTGTCCCACATAAAGATGTTGTCCCACCCATAAAGATGTTGTCCCACATAAAGATGTTGTCCCACCCATAAAGATGTTGTCCCACATAAAGATGTTGTCCCACATAAAGATGTTGTCCCACCCTTAAAGATGTTGTCCCACATAAAGATGTTGTCCCACCCATAAAGATGTTGTCCCATATAAAGATGTTGTCCCACATAAAGATGTTGTCCCACCCATAAAGATGTTGTCCCACATAAAGATGTTGTCCCACCCATAAAGATGTTGTCCCACATAAAGATGTTGTCCCACATAAAGATGTTGTCCCACCCATAAAGATGTTGTCCCACATAAAGATGTTGTCCCACCCATAAAGATGTTGTCCCACATAAAGATGTTGTCCCACATAAAGATGTTGTCCCACCCATAAAGATGTTGTCCCACATAAAGATGTTGTCCCACCCATAAAGATGTTGTCCCACATAAAGATGTTGTCCCACCCATAAAGATGTTGTCCCATAAAGATGTTGTCCCAAGTAAAGATGTTGTCCCACCCATAAAGATGTTGTCCCGACCATAAAGATGTTGTCCCACATAAAGATGTTGTCCCACCCATAAAGATGTTGTCCCACCCATAAAGATGTTGTCCCACATAAAGATGTTGTCCCACCCATAAAGATGTTGTCCCACATAAAGATGTTGTCCCACATAAAGATGTTGTCCCACCCATAAAGATGTTGTCCCACATAAAGATGTTGTCCCCACATAAAGATGTTGTCCCACCCATAAAGATGTTGTCCCACATAAAGATGTTGTCCCACACATAAAGATGTTGTCCACACATAAAGATGTTGTCCCACCCATAAAGATGTTGTCCCCACATAAAGATGTTGTCCCACATAAAGATGTTGTCCCACACATAAAGATGTTGTCCCACCCATAAAGATGTTGTCCCACATAAAGCATGACCGGACATTGAGGAACTGTAACACTACATTGTTTATCAAATGATTTGTTTTGGTATTTGTGTCATTGCTATGCCAGATATTTATACAGATATCAATATTCTCATGCATTTCTGTATGATAAATATCATGGTAAGAATAGAGAATATATATTGTGCTGATCATAACCTGGCCCAATATCATGAAAATACACTCCACTAATTTTCTCTTACAGAATAACCTGCAATTTGTTTTCTTTTGACGGCTGTTCCTGGTCTAATCAAGTGTAGTGACATGGGACAGAATGACTGGATAAATATTTTTACATTTGATGAATGCAAGCATTTTTCATGTTTCTTTCATGCTTTCAATAATTTCAAGATTTGAAACTCCTATTCTCTTTGTACAGGCATGGACAAGGTCTGCTCCGTGGCTGTATGTGCAGGTTCCGGATCCAGCGTTCTGCGTGGTGCCATGGCCGATCTCTTCGTGACTGGGGAGATGTCACATCATGATGTTCTCAACGCCGTCAGTAACGGCATCAGCGTCATTCTGTGTGAGCACAGCAACACAGAGAGAGGCTATCTCAAAGAACTGAAGGGCAAATTTTCAAGCCTAATGTCAGATCAAGTACAGATCTTTGTGTCAGAGACCGACTCAGATCCACTGAAAACTGTGTAATAACAAAATTACAGACCAAAACATATTTCAAGGGGGAGTCATGATTACTTGTACAGGGCTGTGTGTCATATGTTGTAATATGTTGTAATATGTGTTTCAGTTGTCAATGTGATTCCTTGGAATACTCTGTCAAATGAATTTCATAGCAATGAAATATTCTGAAGAATACTGCAGTACATTTCCAATATATTCACCCTGTTGAGATTCTGTGTTGAAATAGGTCTCCACAACCTGTAAGGGTTGAAAGAGGTGGCTTAATATATCAAGTGGTCAGGCTTGGTAATTTCGTTGAGATGGTGATATACCCAGTGCAATGATTTGCTTCTCTCAGTATCAGTCTTTAAATGGTCCAGCCTGGGTTGTATATTCTCTGGCTTCCTTCATATAGCGACAATATGGCTGACTGCAGTGGTGAACAATGACAAAATCATCTATTGACTTACATACTGCACAGTATGTCTGCCATACTCATCAAGGAACATATATTTGCACAAATTGCTTTCACTGGGTTTTTTATGCGTTTTGTGAAACAAGTGATACATCTACAATGTTGAAAAACATCATATACCGGTACTACTCCAATGAATTTCAACACTGTAGGTGTACAACGATGTGATCAGTAATTGTCCATGTCAAACATTATGTACTACTCAAATTAAGGTAAGAACACCTATGATTGAGAGACTGTCTGTTGCAACATTCAAAGCCATAACTGTCAAATGAAACAAATGGGTGTTTTCCTTCACTTCCCTTTCAATCTTTTTGGTCTTACTGACTATTGACAGTGCAGACATTTTGAACTGTAAAAATACTTCATACACAATATCACCCACAAATAAAATCTGATGTTTCTCTCAATAGGTTTGACTATTTTGGTTCATTGTTTTCTCTTCCACCTGATGATGTTAATGTACAACAAAGACACATTAGGATGTATGTTTTAATGCAGCAAAGTTCACATTTGCAAACATGAATATGAGACTTGATGTATCCATGAATACTGAAATGTTGTATCTTGCCAGAGATTCTGAGGAAATGGCAACATCTGGATGGGTGATTCAAAAGGAAACAAAATAAAATCAGAATCTTCATGTTTGCAACAAGTACACAAAAGTCTGAGGACATACTATTACACGTCGTGTCAACCAATCTTTTGCATACTTTGACATACAAATGGAAGGACTAATAGGAATTGAATTAGCTATCAATAAAAACGTTTAGTTGATATTTTGTTTCAAAATATGACTTCCATTCCCGACTATGCTTTTACATATATGATGAAAACGTTCATTATACAGAAATTTGAAGGTTGAGCTAAACTAGTTTCAGGACTGTTGAACAGAAGCCTGAGGTTGTTTTGACAGTAGTCCCTACAGAGAGACACTCTCCATTTCCAATGTTTATTTCATTGATAGATTGACATGAATTTTGACAATATTGGCTCTGATTGGTCAGATCGAAGGCCATTTTGATGTGAGCTGTAATCGAATGTCTCATGACCTTTATAACATGTTATACTTGGGATTACACTTTCTTAGTAAAGTACAGATTCTAGTACTTTTGTTGGGTTGAGCCCCATCCGGGATTCGAACCCACACCCTCAGAGTCAGGCACCTAATCGCCAGCAGACAAAGTCAGCCGTCTAACCCACTCCGCCACCACAGCTTCCACAAAAATGGAAGTCGGACAACTGGTTGTCATCACCACAGACTTTGTGTACCCCTCTGATAACTGTAAATTGGCACAGTTCCCACGGACGAAAGCTATGAATACACAATGCCATTCATGATCTTTGTAGCAGTAGCGAGCACAAGTATCTAATTATGATGAGATTTGATAAAAAGTGGCCTTTGAAGTGATCACAATTTGAAATATTAGTAGCTGACATCAGTGCTGATCAAGTTTGTGAGTGAGTGAAATTTATGGCTTCACTCTGCCTTAATCATGACTTATACTATATCAAAGAATGGCACCTGTTTCAGGCTTAGAGGAAAGCCTGAAACAAACAGACCACAATCAGCACAGACATAGTAAATATTATTAAGTAGCATGGAGTCGTCTAGCTGCGATGACCTACATCCACATTGCCTTTACTCTGACAAGAAAATGTTTGTCCAACAGCAAGAATGAAGGACATAAAAATAACAAGTAATAATAACTACAACAATGAAATCTATGATGCAATTTGCAAATAAAGAATGAAGATAACAAGATGGTACACCTAGACATTTTTACAGGTAATGCTGGCAGTTCTGGAAGGAAACAACTTGAACTGTGCCAGTCACCAGGGGAGATGATACACAACCTGAAAACATTGGTAGCCAAGTTGAAAACATCCAGTATCCAGTGTATTGTATCTCCTCTCTCTTATGAAAATATCTGCGACTATTCACCACCTCAAGTCATGTTTGACATGACACAAAAATAGCAATCCACTCAAATTACTGTATAAATGATTCCATGAAACACAATACCAACAGTATTCAAGCTAATGTTTTTTGCTTACCATCTTCAGTACACATGAGATTGATCATAATATTCTATCTTATGTAAACCCAGCTAAGCTAAGAAATAATTGTCCTTTCAAAAATCTGTATTCAGATGGCAGTACAAGAGACTAAGATGGTGGTGTCACTTCAATATAAAGCCTAGGTGATGTGTATTTTACATATACAATATAATGAAGGTACATTACACTGGATGCGAGAAGAGTCGCTGATTCAAGGTGTCACTTAAAGGGAATCCCCAAATCTAGCTTTACACACAACAGAAACCCACAAGGCATTATGAAGTTCCGAACAAAACAATTTCAGGATACTTCTTTAAAAATATAATTTGATAATGAAGGTGGCTATTCAGTTTTCCTCAGTAAATTAGGCTTTCCACTGCAAGCTTATATATACCCTCCTTGGCTAATACAATGATAAGAAAATATAACTTCTGTGTCTTGTTATATTGGTTACTTGGTTACTGATGAAAAGTAACCATAACAAAGAAGGTTAAAATATATGAACAAAGTTGACATGTACACCACAGTACAAATACATCAATACTCTGACGCCCAGAGCCTTAAGATTATAAAACAAAACTGACTCCAACCATTGTTTAGACTGACTGACTGAGTTTGGTTTTACACCGCTTTAGCAATTTAATATTCCAGCTACATCATGGCAGGGGAACACCAGAAATGGGCTTCACACATTGTACCCATGTGGGGATTTGAACCCGGGTCTTCAGCATGACGAGCCAACCCTTTAAGAAGTCATGAAAGATTTGGAAAATCTACTGGAAAATCCACCGCCCCATCATTGTTTAGAAGTCATGAAAGATTTGGAAAATCTACTGCCTCAGCTCCAGACAGGTATTATGCTTGTTCTTGGCTCTATATGGATTTTACAGTTTGTAGATATTTATTCTTATAAAATTTATCTTTATTTCTATGACAATTTAAGTTTCAAAGTTAGTTTATATGGGTAGACTGGGACTAAGATTTGCTTAAGCAAAGCCGAATATATGTCTTTGGCTTAAGCTACTGTCCACCACACAACTACTTATTGAGACCCAACAATGAAGAAGCCTCATAGCGTTTAAACAGCAAAATATACATCATTATCTGTAAAATATTACAGGTGAATAATAAACAAAATATTAGTCAAAAAGGTAATAAATTAAATATGTAAAACATGACTTTTCCATGACCAGATGAAGTAAAATATACACACAAAATATACAACACAGATTCAACACATAAATAACAATTCAACACAAGTACAACATGATTCAACACAAGTACAACATGATTCAACACAAGTACAACATGATTCAACACAAACATGATTCAACACAAGTACAACATGATTCAACACAAGTACAACATGATTCAACACAAGTACAACATGATTCAACACAAGCACAACATGATTCAACACAAGTACAACATGATTCAACACAAGTACAACATGATTCAACACATGCACATCGTCATTCAAAACACGAAAACATTAAAGCGAGAATTTATGGATGTCAACTTCATTCTTCATTCACCTGATGAAGGTGTAAGAATATACTCTGATATGTTGTGTTCCTCAAAATAAAGAAGTTGACATCCATAAGTTCACTTCTAAATGCTTTTTCAAGACACCACATAAAGCATTGATTCAACACATACACAACATTGATTCTAGTACTAGAATTTGCAGTTTACTTAGAACATTAAGACAGTGTTATCCCAAATATAACACATGGTTACATAGTCCTCCCATATGCATGGTAAACTGACTGAAGCTATTGATACAGATATATAACCGAGTCTTGCAATGATATAAGGATCTATATCAAAATGTTGCTGCAATAGGATAATAAAGGGTTGTGTCTACATTGTGTCTACTTTGGTAACAGACACTCAGTGTAGGTTGCTGGAGTCAACAAAGGTTGTCAACAGGGCAAGGGTTCACTTCTTATACTCATTGCTTGTTAATGTTTGCCAGCTGAAAAAGTTTGGATGATTAATAGAATCTTACTTTAATGTCTTTTCACATCAAATGCATCAACTCAAACTGTTTAAAACTGATGTTTCTTTCCACAGTAAGAGCATGTCTTGTATGTAAAAGGTACAGGTATGTACTCTAAAAACATATGTTAATGCCTTATGTTGACCTCCGCAGGTTTTCTGTCAGATTGAACACAACATGCAGATTGTCAAAATTAGTACATTTATACAATATACATCTGAAACCTATCATCCAATATATTAATGTAGTTAATCTGTTTTGTTGTTGTTTAAAACTACTCTCTGTAATAATCTCGTGGTCTGTAAGGAATCAAATCTGACGTCACAGTCATCGGTCTAGCAGCTGGGATACGATGACCCGCATCAACCAAGTCAGTAAGCTTGACCATCCGATACCAAGCATGTCTACAAGCAGGACAACATCTAACCTGGAACTCCACAGGTAAATATTTCACCTGTCATGACATGTATGATGAACTACAGCAATATGAGAGAATAAACCATCGGTTTAGTAGTGGCAAGTGGTCCTGTGCACAGAGCTAAGGCCACAAATCAGTTGGCAACATTGAGCTCAGACAGTCCTTAGATTGGTGACCGTGTTTGGCAGCTTGACTCCTGAGAGTTTCTAGGACTTCGGTCCCCACAATGAAACACATGTGACTCATGTGGTCTCAACTTAGGCAAGCGAGTTTGTTCAAAATTGCCTCTGTTGACCCAGCAGAAAGTGGGTACCTGGTGGGACAAGTCATGTGACTAATAACCTAGCGCCTTACAGGCAGATTTGGTCATCCAGGTTAATAATGTCTTAGCGCTTTGAGCATGCACAAGTGTGTGGAAAAGGCATGTTATAGATGGCCATTATTATTATTATTATTGTTATTATTATTTAGGAGCATTTTTGTTCTAGCATCTTTGTATTTTTGGCAAAGGAATATCATGGATAAAAGCTATAAACATACTGATCTGGTACTCTTATTACTATACCTATCCTTGAATATGATAGATAAACTTTAAATGGCACAAACAAATAAACAATACAAATATTTAACTGATAAAAATAAATATATAAGCAAAAGATGGAAAATATAAAATTTCTTATCAGTGTCACGAAGCCATGACAGCAGAGACACAAATCCACTACAAACCCTCTCAGTTCAAATTTACATAACACAAGTTGTAAATAAATACAAACACAACAAATATGAATTATACTAGCAAAGGAATTCATCAATCTGTTTATATATATATTAGGGCATATCAAAGTGAATACACAGTTGTACAGAAGGTATGTTTCATGTCACAACTGTCTTCACAGGAACAAGCCAAAGTTTCTCCAAAAACAAAAAGAATTATGCTTGAAATGCAGGAAATAGCTAAAAAAACAGCATAAATATTGAATCCTTAAAGCTTGTCATGTAGTTTCATATCATCTTTGTGTTGTCATGGTTACTGAAGTCATCAACAAGGTTTCACACAATTTCACCATTGACAATTAAAGATCTCTGAAATCATGTACAAGAGTATGTCAGTTCTGATGTCAATGTCCATACTCTTTTCTTCTCTCTCTTGTGCTCCTCTGTCAATCAACGGTAATGTTAAGCCTCAGGAATCTTAGAACTTTGGCCTTGAAAGTTGTGAAATCAAAACAGGAAATAAATACCTTTAGAAAGGTAAAAATATAAATTAAATTAGATTCTAATAACATTTCAGGTTCATCTTATCAACATGGCTGATGGGATCTGTATGGGATCACACTGAGACGTCTAGATCATCGTGTACTGTATTCCACACTGTTAATGCCAAGTGTCAAAAATCACCATCTACATCACTTGACAATGTAAACAACTTCAGGTGTCTTTATATGATTGCACATAGACAGGTTCTTCCCATCTCTAATGGACATAAACAAAGTATTCAAAAACTTAACCAAGTTTAAACCATAGGTAGTTCTAAACAAATATACCAATTCTTGAATATGTTTTGCTCTATGTGTAATATGTTTTTTCTTTCCAAAATGATAAAGCTCAACTCCATAGTAACTTTACACGACATCTGAGACGGGACAAAAGTATGAAGTACTTGATGTTGCTGATTCTCATGCTGCTGCATATGATGATGGTGAAGATAATGATGATGATGATGATGATGATTTGTTCTGTCGCACATTAATTCTCAATGAAAATAGTATCACTGCACAATGTTCACCACATCTAAAAGTTTGCACTATGAAGACGATGATGGTTTGGCGAGGGTACTTTGTCACTTTCCAACCAATTAAAGTTGAAAATGTGAATACTCGCAAACACATGAAACTGGTCATCGCACCATGTGACTGTCTTAATTTTGTGTTCCTCGTGAATACTTTCCGGTCGACAGTTCCCACTGTAACCATCACGCTTTAAGTCAAAGAGAATACAATTGGCCACTTCATTCATTACTAAATCAGGCTGACCTTTGACTTTGTCTGCTGGGACTTGAATAAAATATTTCTCGAGACACTCTTCAAAAGTATCATATGTCCGAAATCTGCGATAGAACTGCTTATAAACCTGCTTCGAGAACTGTAGGTCACGTGGAATGGGTTGGTTCTTGGTAACGACTAGACGCACAGTTGACTTGATGGCTCCAGTTTGACGGACTTGATCCTTAGCCAAGTTGATGATATCATCTTTAATATCATGGTATTTCACAAGCTTTGAACGTAAGTTCTCCCTCACTACGTATTCTGTGAATAATGCCGGGGAACTTTTGAGATGATCGATAAGTGGATCTATCCCATAATACACAGCATCCTTGAGAATTTCCTCCGCCAGATCGGCTGGTGGTGGGTCGTCATGACGTAGGAAGTTGAGGATGTGATGAAAATGGGTTCCATCACGGTCGATAAAGTAGTTGCCGTCGGGGTCTGTGTCCAAGTTATGTCGTCCACTGAACATTACGGCAAGCATGGATTCGGGATAGCGACGTAATGTTGACAACCGGGTGGCAAAATGTTTTCCTCCAACATTGAGGGTGACCACACTTGGAAACTGTTCAATGACAAGAAAAGGCAACTTTAGTGAATACATTTAACAAATGAGCACATGTGATTTCAAATTACCTGCCCTTGATTTTCATTAAACATTTCAAGCAGATTTGTGTCACTACTCAGTCTAACAGACCAATCAGAATGCGAGCTGCAAACTTGGGCTTGGCGATATCAACAACATGGTGGCAGGTCTCTTAAGAATTACAATGTATGCCAAAAATTCAAAATTGAAAAATTGAAATGTCTTCTGGTGGAAAGAATGTCTTCTGTCCATTAAAACTGAGGTGCAAGTCCTGTCTCCTTTGATTTGAGAATATTTTTTGCTGCAGATTTGGGATTATATTTCAGCCTCTGAGCATGATGAATATACTTTACAGTGTGAAAATATATAACACAGTACATTAAAGCAATATTCACACTCGAGGTGCGTCTCATCAAGTCTCATAATAGAACACGATGATTATTCAAGTACATTCATTTATAATTTAATTCCAAAGGGTAAACTTTATTTCCTTAAGATGCATTTTCATTCAGTAGACCACAAACTTCAACTGAAAAGGACATACATGTACATTAAATATTTTTAAGTGTCTCATGTCACAAATCAAAGTAAAACCTACATTTCTATCCCTGCACGAAACACTACCTGTAGTGAGAATGTGTATCCTGGTGGATGTACATGCCATGTTCTGTTTTCCTCTGTAGTTATGACACTTGTCAGATTTATCACCAACTACTGGACACCTCTCAACATTAGCCAGGCCATAAAGTCTCAAACAGGAAATTATTTGTCACTTTTAGTTAAAAAAGTAAACATTTATGGCCATGATGAATAATTCCATCACAAGCTCATTGCATTAAATGCAACAATAAAATACAATGCTAAAAGCCATCAGAATTTAAGACAAAATAACACCTTTGATAAAATCTAAAATTTTAACAAAATAATCATTTTTTCCCAATTTGCCTACCAAAGGCACATAGTCCAGAATCCTAGAAAAAGCCCTGCAACTGTTGAGAGGATGATAACAGTAGTTACTTTGGCAACCAGTTTTTGCTATTGACTGCACAACTGAACTTACTCTGTGATTGGCCTAAAATTGTTATAGCATCACATCCTCCTTGGCACATCAGCATGTTTAGTATCTATGGTTACCAGGACCCTACAATATCTACCATAATCATATGTAGTGAGTCAGTATGTTTTTATGCTGCTTTTAGCAATATTCCAGCAATATCACACCAGGGTGACACCAGATATGGGCATCACACATTGCACCCATGTGGGTAAATGAACCAAGGTCTTTGGTGTAATGAGGAAATGTTTTACCCACTACCCCACTACAGCATAATAGTATCAATTTACTGCCATGTACATATATAGTATATACGATACAGTAGGAACAAACATGTTATGACTTATACAGGGTCACCCTTTGCTTTGTCTCTAAATATCAAGAGCCAAAGTATTATATTGGGTCTAGTATGGTAAATAACTGAAGGAGTTTGGGTCACCAATAAAACTCATAAAACCAATAACCTAGTAACAGCACCTGTAGAGTGAGTGAGTGTGTGTACATAATCCTTTGTTCATTGTCTTGTCGACCTGCTGCACATTACACACAAGGAAACATTATAACATACAATTCTTAATCTGCCAACATACACTGTAGCTCACCAGGACATGTTTATAATCACTTATATAAATTGTACAGAGTATTTAAGAGCTATAAAGTATATTATGTGCAAAAATACCCTAAGACTGACTCATACAAGTACTTGGGAACATTTATATACTCATAAATGATAAATGGAGATTATTACTCTTGCATATTTCCATATCTTAAATATTTGATACAGCTGTATTATGTTAGGAGACTGACTGAGTTTTACACTTTTAGCAATATTCAGCAATATCATGGTATGGGGACACCAGAAATGGGACACATTGTGCCTGGGGATTATTAGCCAACGCTTCTAACCATTAGGCTACCCCACCGCCCTATTATGTTAGGAAAATGAACAACAACACTTATTTGAGAGCATAGAGCAACAATGAGCAATGTCAGCAATGTGAGGGTCAGCAACATTTTGAGAAACATTAGGGGAGGGTAACTATTTTGAGTACATATCTATCATTCCACCACCTCTAAAAATCATCATAATAAATGACAAGTTTCTCTATTAGCTAAAAGTGCAAATGTACTCATATATTCTTTCTATATTTATAATTTTGACAGAAATATCTGACAGAAATAAATATATATACACATTAATGAATAAAAAGCAACAAAATAAGGGCAGTCAAATGTAGGCTGAACTGAAATGTTTTAAGTCAAACCTTGTCCATCGTTCTATGTTCCTGTGACAAGTACGTCCACAAATGACTGTCACTGCATGTGATACACACACTATCGTGCCCAGGTTTTCAACCATGCAAGCACAAACTGCCCCATGAGCTGCCTACTGAACCATGAACCTCAGAGCTGCAGGTACTTTGCGTTTCCCTATCATCTGTGCATTATCTGCTTAATGACATTTTGCCTCCAGTGAAAGGTCATAGTTCATTTCCTCCCAACATTACATAGACACTTTCAAGTTGTAATAAAAGTTATAGGATGGTGTAAAAATGAAACTCGTTCTTTCATAACTACTCCACATTTCTAATATATTATCACACAGATTGAATGATACAGAGTGTCTTTGGAAACTGATAGGCACATTAAGTGATTCCACATATTCTATGCATTTCTTCCTGCAATTACTTTTACCTTTGATGATGATGATGATTTTAGTTAGTTATTTAATTAGTTAGTTTACAGGATATAATCCAGGTGATTAAGAAAACAGAACTGAGTTAATTTACAAGTTGGATTAACTGCAGTTTTCTTTTTCCTTCACTGAACTTTAATAAAATCAAATAAAATGGCTGAAATATATTTCTTACACACTCATGTGAGTGTGTGTTTGCTTGCGTGCGTGCAAGTGTGTATTTTTGAAAATAGGTATACATGTACATGTATTTACCATTTGTTAAATGTCAGCAATCTGGAACCATCTTAAACAATGAAACAATGATTAACCAAATCTATTCTCAGTACAACTTGCAACAGTATGTGTTGCCATAAAATATCGTAACAGGGACATAATCATGTAAATCAGCCCACAACTTTTGTAAAAAGTCCTTTTATACATACAGTTTCCTTGATAAAATCCTCGATCCTATCACTATATAAAATGTGCATGTCTCAAACTACCTTTGATTTAGCCACCAGTAGATATTTCACAACTATTGACATGGTTAACACGGTATACTTGGAGCGTGAAAGACCTTATTCAATATTGCTAGGACTGTCACTTAGTCTGACCTAACCTCAATATCTCCAAATCTCTGAAAGCAAGTCTAGTACTACATGGATGTTATTTATGAATAACAGGTCTCCACTACACATACACAAAATATTATTATTTTCCACATAAAAAACAAAGCTAGGGTTCTCTTTAAGCCTGTGTTTAATAAACATATTTTGTGCAGAACAGAATGACTGATTCAGTTCTCAAACCAAAAGGATAGAGATCCGCCATTAAACCAACAATGCAAGCACTGCAAACGGCTTAATTAATTTATAGAATTGCTTTGCCTACCTAGTAGTACTGCTGTCTCAACTTGCACAGTCCATTCATGTGTTTTACATCTGTTTCATTTTAGATAAATCTACACATTCAGATAAAAATATATCATGAAAATGTTAACATTCATTCAGAAAATATCGTCACACATTCAAAACTACAAAAGGTACATTAGTTTACATATTTATCTACCTACCATCAAAGCCATACTGACAATCACTTTGATGTGTAAAGCTACATTGTCCTGCACTTAACTGTCATAATAATTATCAACACAACATGTCAGCACACACATAAGAAGGCTTGTCTGTTCTTATTGCAGAGTAAATGCATTTGTTACAAATATAAGAAAAGTCTGGTCCTGTGATAAGTTGCTATCTGTGTTTACTCGAACAGAAACATCCCTCATTGAATAAAGCAATGTGCCCAGTAAGATAGGAGGTTACCATGCAGTTATTCGGATTGTTTACTAACAATCCTTCAGAACGGTAGATTTCCCTTTAAACAAGTTTAATACAACAAATACGGTAAACTAGTTTTGCAGAACGATTTGGATTATATTTCATGTATAATAATAACACGCTTTTAAACAAACATTTAGGATTATTTTTCCTCATAAGATAACATGCATCATGATAGCATACAACGTGGTAAGCATCAAAATACAGAACTTTGCAGTGCTACGTCACAAAGTCTGAAGCGAAATCCGCTGGCATAGTATAATGACGGATAATTGTGTTGCAGCTATTTTCTTTCTGGCTTGTATGTAGACCCGGCTAACTAACCGTAACTGTAGGCGAGGTATCCGTGTTTCCATCAGCTTCCTCGCCCATTCTTGTTTATTTATTTCTAGTACCACCTTGTTTTGACAAGGGATATAACTCAACATACAATAACATGTGCTTGCCGCTAGAAATACGACTTTGTTCACTAGAAAACAAGAACGATGATGTCTGGACAACATTCTCACTGCGAGCGAGTGGATTTGGTGATGAATGTTTATGCGATATCTACTAGTAGCTTATACACATAAAGTTATGAAAACACATTTAACTAAGGTTATAGGCTCGGATTTATTGAAATCCAAGCAACTGTCGTTCGGGTTACTGGAATCAAAAGCAACTTTGTACACTGCTGTCTTCAACTTATCATGTATACAAATTACTCCAGTTATTATTACCAGGGAGACTATAGTATCCCTGTTATTACACTGGAAATAATTACCTCACGTGACAAAATCTCAAGGCAGGCTTGTTAACAGTTTAATCAGCTTTCACGTACGTCTGTTTACTTGTGAACTTTGTTTAGAAAGGAGCTCATGGCGTCAGTCACTGGATTATCTGGTCCACACGCGATTATTTGTAACAGGAAAATTGCTGAGCAACAAATAAACGAATAACAAAAAAAAGTTTAAACGTTTAGAGATGCTGACAACTTTGAAAGTAATTTCCAGCAAGACATATTAATTGTTTTGATGGAGTAAATAATCTTTCTAGAGAAACACGTACATTATGGAAACTGTGAAGACAAAGCCCAAACTTTAATATTAAAAGTTGATAAATCTGTCTCGCAGCCCCTGGACCACATTATTTTCCCTACTGCCTAGCCCTTCCTGCAATGCTAGAGCTCTAAATGAAGCAAGTCTAGATTTCCTCATGCCATATCTCACTGGCGCTCCTTTTCAAACTAAAACTTGACCAGCAAAGCTGCAATGTTAACGCTCGTCACGCCGAAAACCCGGGTTCGATTCCCCAAATGGGTACAATGTGTGAAGCCCTTTTCTGGTGTCCCCCATCGTGATATTGCTGGAATATTGCTAAAAGCTAAAACTCGCTCGCTCGATGCAATTTTAGCGTGCACGAAGAACGTGTTACACGCTGCACAGTTGACTCAGCGTTCCATGTGTGCAGAGTTGCGCCCCTTGGTGACGTCAGAAACCTATGATCGTTCTGTGTCTGTAGGGTTCAGCACTATACCCATGTATGTGAGTTTCGCCAACGTGGTGGACGTACGTCTGAGACCAGCATCACTTCAGACTTCACTATCACATCAAGATGAATCGGCGTTCCATATTAGAAATACTGGCCTAATTTAAGTGGCCTTCAAGCCAGTTCACTAACAGTGTGAGAAATAACCACTGGCCCGCTAGCCCGTGGCAGTAAAATCCAGCCGGGCCAGTAAATCTCCACAGTCACTGGCCCGAGTGACAAGTGAACTGTTATGGGGTCGTTTTGTAAATAAATCACTCCCTCCATCTTGTTAAGTTAATACACCTTTAAATCATGCAAGATTATGGTCTGATCAAAATGTTCATCATATTAGCAGCTTGTGATGCCGACAATATCTTATTCTCATCTATTTTCGTATTCTCTTGCTTATTTTCAACGTTCAAATTTCGGGTTAGAGAATTATTTTGTGGGCTAGTAAGCTTCTGACATATTAGGTAGCCCGACCGGCTCGCAAAATTTGGAAACTATTTCGTACACTGCCTACTAACCACACGGAACATATACTACCCATTAAAAGTTTAGACTCACTTAAAGCACTCACTATATGTTGTGTATATATATGTGGTTACATTGAAGATGAATTTCTCCACTAACTTGGGGCAAGCAACTGCAAACCTTGCGCAGATGAATTGCACGAGGATCATGCATCAAATTAGAGATAAGCATGTGCAAATATCGTGCATGTGACCAGCTGCGTTTTTGTGTAAAGTTTTGTTAAAATTTCGCCAATTCTCACTGAGTTTCATCATTTACTGAACTCATGACAATAATCTTTTCAACATTGCGAATTTGTTTTACAATACCTCAGTTCATTTGTAACCAGTACCTTTAAACAGTATGGAATATTTTGCAAAAACCTAGTTTAGAACAGTTGACTGAAGTATAAGTGCCTACATTTCCACTAGTGAGTCTAAACTTTTGATGGGTAGTATATATTATGATCGTTTCAGTCACTCCTGACTGTCACACTCCCATTGAAAGAGACCTTGCTTTCTCCTTCATTTAACAAACATATTGATCAAAGTTCTGTCAGCTTTCTGCCTAGCCTATTATGTTAATTATGTTGTTTTCTTTGTTACATTGTTATATCCAGTATATATATACTTCCCCCTTCTTCATGTTCCATTATGCTTGACAACGGTACAAGAATCTACCGAAACGTCGCACTCACGAATAAAAGAAGTTGTTATCCATAAAGTTTGTTCTATAAAGGTCTATCTTTGCTTTAGTTTTTAATATAAATATGATACGAGTTTCAATAGTACTGTTCACTTTCCATGAAAACCAACGCGAGTTGCAAGAAATACCAGAAAACGTCTTATCCCGAGAGGAAGTGTAACGTATTATATTCTCAGCGACATCACGTAAAAATATAGAGATTTTAAATGCAAAGAATGTGATAAATAAACCGAGTTTTTGTTGGCTTGTTGTTGAATATATCTAACATCGGATTTAAAAATGGGTTAATAAAAGCGTTCATTTATAAATATGTCAACCGGTAAACTGGTATATTCTGGTATATAAAATATATTATTTTGCGCTACCCTACATGATTGGAACTTCATGTAGGTGAAATCTTTGCGTATACGGTATATATTTTTAATTACAATATATTTACACTCGTACTTTTCCTGTCTGAATTTAATATTGTAATAATTGTATCATCAGCATACATGCCAGCTTTGGAAGTTTAAATATATAAGTTACATCGCACATAGCACTTTGTAAGCATGTGCAACAAAACAAGGAGAGATTGACCTATTAAACGAGGGCCGAATGGTGGGGATACGGTAACCACAGTCAGAAGAAGACCCAGCTGCCATGCTGACAAGCATTTATATCCATCCTGTCAATCAATCTCATTTTCAGAAGGTTAACTTTCACTCAGCCAATCACAACTCAGTTAACTCAGAAGTGAGCCAATCACATAATCCGTTACAATCACACCGATATTTCCACAAATATGGCCGACAATGATGGCTGATCCTCTTCGTCGACCTGACCAAGTGTCTCCTAAGTCGAGCCCCCGGGACAGGGGCTCGAGGTCCCCAGCCTACCCTAGACAAGACTCAACAGGGACCCTCAAGACAACCATAAGCCTGGGAAAAATCCCTTCCGTTATTCACACCGGACCCTTCTACTTGATGAAAGATGTTCCGGGTAAGAACACAATGACTAGAAATTAGAATGACGCGTAGTCAAAGCAGAGACTGGCTAGTTGAACATTGATGTGACTACGCATCGTGTGGTAACTAGACGAATAAAGGTCGATTTATGTTTCTTATGCTTCATCGTTTTAACTTAAATGCGAACGAAGCAATATGTGTCAGATTCCTGTCAACAAATGCACAGCAATGTGTTTGTGCTCCCAGCTAAGAGCTGCGATGCGGTCCTATGCAGTCAAGATGCATGGTCATGTCCTGACTGTATAGGACTGCATCGGAGCTCTCTTCTACCAGCATCCATGTATCCTTATGGGTTCTTGGTTATTTGCTCTTTCCCCAAATATAAGCATGATAAGACTGCATGGGATGGTGGTCAAGCTACTGTCATGTACCTGAAATATTGCTAAACGCTTTCTTGAACGATGGGGTAGCCTATGGTTTAAGTGTTTGTTCGCCATATTGAAAACCCAGGTTCGATTCCCATATGATATAAGTACAATGCAGGAAGTGCATTTCAGGTGTCTTTGCTGTGATGTTGCTTGAATATTGCTGAAAGAGGTGTAAATCCTCATTCACTGCAGTGTTGAACAATTCTGAATTCATTTTGTCAATGAGTACTTTGTTACTTCATTGTAGAACACCTCAAACAGCAATAAGTCATATTTTTGTGTTGGAAGTAGTATATATTTTTTTACATGGTTCTTACTCCCCATGACAGAACCTGCTGAGATCACCGGCAGCACCAATTTACTGTCACAGTATGGGCTTGAGCACTCCTACAGCAAGTTCTGTGGCAAGAAAGTTAAAGAGGAACTCAGCGCATTCCTCCCTCATCTTCCAGGCAACATCGACAGTCCCGGGATGCAAGACAACAGGTGATTCTAGCAGTTGGATGCTAGTTATTTGTTTCACAATACAACAGAATTTTCATAGACGTCTTTGACAATTATACTAGTCTACAAGACAATTATTTGGTCCAAATGCACTGTCCACTGGACAAATGCACTGGTCCAATAAACCTGACCTGTGGGGTGTTGTCAGATACCTTAAGCAAAGTGGCAACATATCAGTAAAAGACCAGTTTTTTATTGGGTCATTTTTTTATTCTAATGTGCAAAATGGGCCATGGCCCCTGCCTTCCCCAATCCCTGTAATTGTATCCTAGTTGCATTGAGTAATGCTTATAATGTCAATCACTGTATTGTCAGGTCCAGACTCCAGTATCTACATACTAACGCCATGTATCTTGATTATTGCTGAGTGCGTCTTTTAACAAAAAATGAATATACAAACAAATATTTATGTGAGACACAGAGGTACAGATAAGCTGCATATCTGCGTAAATTACGCAAATATTTATGTTACAACTCAAATTCATATTAAGTCTTTTTCGTACAAGTACGCATGACTTTTTGTAAATACTCACTAAATGTGATCTTACATGCATAGTTAAATCATAGCTTGCGTACCGGTGCATAGATAAAATAACTGAGGTATATTCAGAGTTCTATTTCAACACATGAACTTTGCAACTTTCAGTCATTCTTGTCGTTTCTCATATTACAGATCCAATATAAATAACATTTAAGCTTTATTATATTTTTACAATCAATGGAAAATGGCAAAATACCCAAATGAGTTTGTGTGAGGTGGGTACAATTTAGCTGTTTACTCAAAGGAAATTTAGGATACTCAATTGAGATGAACACAAGCGAGTACATAACTCAATGACCCCAAAAGTTATCTGTAGCTAAAGACATGTCAGTTAGCAGACAAGACACTTCTTTTGGAACTTGCATGAATAGTTTATCCCTATTATATCCGGATATCACTGATTCTTTTGTCAGAAACCTTTCAAAATGCCAAGCACAAGGAGGTGAAGGCTTATCTTGATTAATTATCAGTTGCATATAAACAAATTAGATTTATTAAAATGATAAGTGACAAAAGATTTATCAAAACAAGCAATACAAAAACAATACATTTCTTTGTTTCAGTTCACTGCGGTCGTTGATAGAGAAGCCGCCAATCATAGGCAAAGAGTTATCTTCCCTTGCTGGGTCTGCTCTGACTGGGTTCCGGCTCCACCCAGGACCGGTATGTATTGTGCACCCAATGGTTTCAACCACTTATGTTTACGTCAGTAGCACTGTATGGTCATTACCAGTGTGAGTTGAAAAGTCAGCAATGATGTTTATATGTAGATATATGGGTATTTCTCGCATAGCATACTTCACAATTTTGCTTTTACTCATCAGTAATATCTTATCACAAAAATGGCCTGTTTTTACATTTGTAAGTATTGCCACACATGCAGCTGTGTTCTTGTATAAATGATTCTGTTTCATGTGGCGAGAGCTAGTTATCTCATTGATGTAGATGTTGCTCATGCTATCAACCACTAGTTTGCCCCAGGTTATTACCTGTGATGATTAGGAAAGGCTGAGTGTTTGTATTTTTGTGCAGCTTCCGGAGCAGTATCAGCTGTTGAACCAGATGACCCAGAAGAGGAAGCACAAGAGGAAGAAGAAGCACAAGGAAGGGGAGAAGGGGAGTGCACTCCAGGAAACTCAGAGTAAGTCAGGGAACTACATCCATATAGGGCTCAAAGCATTGTACATTATGATCGGATTATCTACAATACAAATGGGGTGAGGAGCATTATCTACAATACAGTAGAGGGGGACTGTGTGCAGGATGCAGGTGATAGGTGAGGTGTCACGGACATCAGCTCAACTTTAGACATGCTTCTGTATATAATGAAATTCAGGATGTGTTGCTACATTACAAGTGAGGACTTGTGACATTTTGCAATTTTTCAGGTTTAGATTGTGGGATAATCTCCCGACTTACTTTTTTATGATGTAACTGAAAGGTGATAAAAAAATATTCAAAATCTGTCTATCAAATATTTCATTTGTCCATTGTTGATGTTGATGTTGCAGCTGAAAATGCAGCTGATGCGGAAGCTAAGAAAGTGAAGAAACCAAGGAAGGATGAAGACAACAGCAAGGACAATAGCAAGAAGAAGGAGAAGAAGAAGAAGAAAAAGAAGAAAGTAAGTTGCAGTGTTACCATCACAATATGAACTTAGGTCTTGTTTCTTATATGGCCTTTTTGTTCACATAACAGTAACATTTAGTAACCAATCTTTATGGATTTTTACCAACTTTTTCAAGATTAGACAAAAACACTTATTTGTTTTGAGGCCAATTAAATTAAAATCAAATTTTACTGTGATCTTCATGCAAAGCAGTATCGTATTTGTTGATTCATTGATTCTGTTGAAATTGTTTCAAGGGATATTGATACAAAGAACTAATTACAATATTTACAAGATTGGCGTAATCAACTTGTATATGGATTCTTTTTTGTTTTGCAAGAGACACAGTCCAGAACATCAACCTTCTGCAACACAGGGCAGTGAAGGAGCTTCATGAAGCATACCATAGGATGCAGAATGTGGGCGGAGTCTCGCCACGTGACATAGAATGTGGGAGGAGTCTCGCCGTGACATAGAATGTGGGTAGAGTCTCGCCATGTGACATAGAATGTGTGCGGAGTCTCACCATGTGACATAGAATGTGAGCAGAGTCTCACCATGTGACATAGAATGTGGGTAGTCTCGCCATGTGACATAGAATGTGAGCGGAGTCTCACCATGTGACATAGAATGTGAGCAGAGTCTCACCATGTGACATAGAATGTGGGCGGAGTCTCACCATGTGACATAGAATGTGGGTGGAGTTGTGGGACACAGATCATAGCATGTGACAGAATGTACGTGTCTCGTGGCCATGTGCAGATTCACATATGAGGATGAATGTTGGCGGAGTCTGATATTCCACAGGTGCATTTTGAAATTTTGTTGGATGCTGAATGCAACTGACAGAGTTGCCTCCCTCAAGTGTTGATAGAAACTCAAAGCAAAAGGGTGCTGTGAAAGGGACCTTTTCCAGATTTTACAACAGAAAAAGACACAGGCAGTTACTTTGCAGCATCCTCTATTATCAAATTTGTCATGTCTCTATTGTATTATGCCAAGTGGTTCAGGTGTTTGTTCGTCATGGTAATAGCCTGTTTGTAGAGCACTGACACAAGTACAATGTGCTTGCCCACATCTGGTGTCCCATGACGTGGTACTACTCGAACACGGCAAAAGTGATGCAAAATTGTACTCTCCTTCATTTCCCTCTATAGCCTCAGTTTGGAAGTGATGTCACATCTCCTGTCTCTTACAATGCCTTCTAAACCCAAAATCTGTCGTAATAGAACTGAGACATATACACTAGATATTTAAGGCTATTTGGAATGTGGACTTGTTTTACTGAAATAAAATGTCATAGTGATGTCAGTATTCTGTAGTATCTGTGGCTCCAATAATAGACGTGAAGGTCGAAACTTTGAGAATTGATTGCACAGATTAGTCAGAATACAGGGATTTTCCTGGGCTATTTTTCTGTTGTTAATTAGTGGTCCATTGGACTCCCAACTGTGTAACTGTAGTGGTGTGAGTGTGAAAACTATGTCTCCCACACAAATAGGGGCCTGAGAGAAATAATGAAAGTTTAATATCATACTCAACCGCAGTTGACACAAGATTGCTCATGTTCAGAGTCTGTTAGTTGAAAATAGAGATCTCCATCTAAATACTTGTGTTAAATCATGAAACAGTCAACAGTTTTGCAGTTATTAAATGATACGTGGAAAGTCATTATTTTGCAGGGATGGGGGTGTTAGCTTGAGATTTGGTGCTTCCCTGCACAATTGGTTCTAAATTAAATGAAAAGGGAAAATATATACAGGTAACCAACCCACCAGCAACAGAATATGGTCTCTGTCACACTACAGGGTTCGCTCAAGCTCAACACATCGGTAGGGCAATATGTGGATGGTGAGAACCAACCAGAAATATTAATTTCACTTTATATTCAACTCCTACTGCATCAGACATGCAGTTTTCCTGTGTGAGCGTGAACCCTGTTGTGACTGAATTGTTGTCTACCCAACAACAGTTGTTTCACAAATTGTAAACACTAAATATGATTATTGTTTCGCTCAGGTATTTATGTGGGTTTTTATACAAACCAGGATGCAACATTAAGTGAATTTATTAATATACCCTACTTAAGAAATGACTGTTCGTTGTGTAGGGCACCTGTCATGGCAGGTTTAAGTTTTTATAGCACCTCTATTTGTTGTATGTATATTTTGTACTGACGAATTCTCTGTGTTTCAGAAATAAAAGATCTGAAATATGGGAAATTTTTTTGTTATGTTTTGATATTTATCCAACATGTTAGAATGAACTATGTTCCCACATCTCTTCACTGCACAAAATACGGTCTAAAGACTATTTGTCTATATTTAGTCAGGAAATGGAAAAAATTACCATCTACAACCATACATAAACTTTGTGTGAAGACAATGGTCAGCAGTCAGTGAGTTAAGTTTTACACCTATTTAAGCAATATTCCAGCAATAACACGGCAGACACCAGAAATGGGCTTCACACATTGTACCCATGTGGGGAATCAAACCCGGGTCTTCCACAAGGTTATCCCATGCCCCTGTTCTTACTCAGAACCTGTACAAGTAACAGGGCTAATACTGGCTTGAGATGTACATCAGTATCATAGAAACCACACCTGTCATGGACTAGAATCAAACTTGGGTCTCCAAGGTATAACTGGATAATTTAACCACTTGGCTATGTCTAATCGCTTGTCATGGGAAGATGGAATGGGATGCATAAAATAATTCCATATTTTGTGATAATCAATTTTGGTTTGATTAGAATTCCAAACTAGTTCAAAAACTTAAATTCACTGAACTAGTTTTATGGTATTTAACATCAGTTGTAGTTAATGGAACTGTCAACATTAATACTGTCTCAGTCTGATATACAGTAGAATACTTTTATAACGAACACGAATATAACGAACTGACGGCTATAGCAAACTGTTTTAAAAGTCCCGAATAAACCCCTGTATATTATCATATAGAAAAGTCGTGAATAATGAATTCTCTATAACGAACTTAATGGCAATAGTGAACTGATTTGCAATCCCCAGGAGTCGCAGTTAACACTAATTAACAGTGTGAATAACGAACTGAGCGAACTCAATCAGTGTTCCTGCCAATTAGCTGTGCTCACTTTGATGCCAATATGGCGCTTCAAACATTGAAGAACTTTCTAGTTTCGAAGAAGACAACTGATATGTCTTCATTTGATTCACTTGCCGATTTGAATGAGGCTACAGCACATATGCAGTCGGCCAAGCGTGGACAAAGCAAGATCACAGACTTTGTAGTGGCACGAATGTAACTGTCGTATGAATGAATGAATAAACTGAGTAGGAATGTATCGTACTGTACAGTATGTCTTTATTGTTCTTTCAGTGGAATTTCGTGAATAGCGAACTACGGATATAACAAACTAATTTCAGTGGTCCCTTGGAGTTCGTTATAAAGGTATTTTACTGTATGCAATAAAATAGTTGTACAAAGACACAAAGTCAAGAGAAGGCTACATTCCATCACCTGCCTAATACCGGACTCTCATCACTGTCAGACCCGTGAAGATCCAGGTTAGAATCAGTCGTAACAGGCGACTGATGGGATTGGGTGGTCGGGGATCGCTGACTTAGTTGGCACGTCATTGTATCCCAATTGCGTAGATCAATGCTCATGGTGTTGATCACTGGATTGTCTGGTCCAGACTCGATTATTTACAGACCGCCAACATGTAGCTGGAATATTCTGAGTGCGGCGTTAAACAACAAACAAACCAACCAATAATGGTGGATCTCATCACTGTCAAAATGGCAGAACATGAACCAGTCCTGCACTGCAGATGTTTCCGAGTCAGTACCCTGACACCATGAAAACATTGATTTTATACAAAAACTGTCTCAGCAAGACAAGCCAACCTTTCAAAACATTTCAAACCATGACGTCAATATTATAAAATTTTGATATATCAGAACTGGCTCTTCTGATTTCCACAGTTATCTTAATTTGAATCACCTGACCATCAAAAGTGGGCATTTTGCATGTATGTTTACCAGTTTGCTGAAACCCACAAACCTTGAAACTATATTCCGTGTAAATCTGGACTTCAAAGCCCACGAAAGGTTTTTCAGAGAGAATTGCTGTGCTCTGGGGTTCTTAGGGACCGTTCATAATGTATGAGGGAGGAGAAATGATGATTTTTAGGGGTGGGGGTGGGGGTTGTTCACCAATTTTTTCTGGGGAGGTAGGGGGTCATCAATTTTGTACACATGCACTGGGGGTGGTGGTGTTGTCATCAATTTTGTACATGAAGAAGAAAAATTATGCTAAAAAATTATGGGAAGGGGGAGGTTATTGATTTTGTATATGACATGTGGGGGGTCACTTACTTTGTACGTAAATTTTAGGGGGGTCACACACATTGTACATGCTTCTCCATAGAAATCATCATAAAACACACACACCACATAACTTATGAACGGTCCCTTACAGAATTGGTTCCTGACAGAATGTCCTTATTTAGGAAAGTAAACCAAATGTGAGATCATTTTGATCACACTAGTTACATGGCATCAATTCTAGAGTTAATATATAGTCCTGTTTTAACAGTCACTTTAATTTCATGAAACACGTCTAAAATATATCTGACTTCAATTACAAATAAAGACTTACTAACAACTAGATTCTGATTTGTCACATTCCTAAAAATATATGTGTAAATGTAATTTACTAACATCCATTTCATACAAAAACATTGATGACAATATTGTACACATATCTCTTGCAACAGAATAATAAATGGTTTTAATTCATTCTTTCTCAAACACACATAAATATAATTATAATGTAATTTTCTGAGTAAACTTGATATTTTATACTTATCCTGACTCATGTATTATTGCTTGTCTCCTTCCTTTCATGAAATGTAAACAAACTGAACAATCACATGAAACCGCGAATAAACAGTCAAATTTGCTAATAAATTTCAAACCATATTGTAGAAGGATACTCCCTGAAACCTTATAAAGATAACTTAAAGGGTAATAACTAAGTTAGCAAAGGATATAGTGCCGTGTTGGAGACACAGGTGCTCTCCCAACCGTCCACTAGGGCGAAGAAGGAGAGTGGGAAGACGGGTGGCGCCGTTTTCCCGCCAAAACGGAGAGGGAGACAACTCGTGGTGAGTAGTGATTTTACGTCTGCTTTTTTGAAGGGAGCTTCAAAAAGGAGATACAGGTGTTCCACTAACATTCGGGAAAGGAAGGAGACAAGCAATAATACATGAGTCAGGATAAGGAAAAATATCCATTTATCATGTGCATTGCTCTATGCACAATGCATTTACGAAGCACCCAAACAATCTGATTATTATTACCCCGGATAACCCAAGATGCCTGAGAGGCACCAGGTTATAGTCACATTACTATCCCACCGGGTACCCATTTTCTGCTGGGTGAAGAGAGGCAATTTTGGACAAATATTGATAACGTAAGCTTACAGAGACCGAGGTAATAGTTGTGTTTCGGTAGTTCCAAAGCACCAAGATTGGAACGAAAACCTGAATCAGTTAAATATGTATCTTAAAAATACATCATTGCTCCACTGGATTGTACACACTTCGTTCCTCCAACATCTGTAAATACATTTTGTCCATCTGCAGAGTAATTGTTGTTTGTTAACAAATGACAGACATCCATCAAGATGACACAATAATAGTGCTCATACATGCTCAGTTAATACCACACAAATACCAACTTCTGACACCTGCTGGTATTTTCTCTTCTTGTAGCCTCATCCTGAGCTGGAGTGTTCCCACGAAGATCATACACAAGATAGAGCTCATGACTGACATCTGACAAAAAAAACGTCATTTCAGTCCGATGCAAGGATGCGTGATGGAGGAATGTAGTATGTACAAGGCTGTGTATTAATGATGACCAGATGACCCCTGCTGGACGTGTCTATGTGAAGGTTACTTTATCTACAGGCATGTGCCCACTCTCCCCGAGATTCTTAATGTGAACTCGGCCACTGGGACGGATGACGAGGTATGTGATGCTGCCATTAGCGAGAGACATTCGTAGCCAACCCTCAGGAGGGAACTGCAGGGCTCTGGAAACATAAAGGACAATGTCAACATGGACATACTTTGAAAATCAAAATATGTGGTACAAAATGTACTTAATTAAATGCCTTTCAGGAAAATAAAGGCCGCTATTCATAAAGAGATTTTAAGAGGGCATACACATTGTCCTCTTTCACCTACTTCCCTTATATATGACTATATGAGATGATATAGTATCACCCAATGTTTTTCATAGAACTGTTGGTAATATGTCACGCCTGTTGGGTATTGCAAAACACTGCCATCCAGTTGCAATGTTCTATAACTTAGTTAGTGTAATATATTCAAAGAGGTTAATCATAATGATCATAATATATTCAGTTTCCGTTGGTCCAATGGAAATATATACATTGATGAAAGAGTGAGTGAATAAGGTTTTACGCCTCTTTTAGCACTATTCCAGCAATATCACGGCAGGGGACACCAGAAATAAACTTCACACATTGTACCAATGTGGGGAATCGAACCTGTGACTTCAGCGTGATGAGCGAACACTTTAACCACTAGGCTACCCCACCGCCCAAGAAACCGAGAAACATAATGGCGATCTGAACCTGTAGGTTCCACAAACTCAGGACATTGTTCCAATTCTTTATTCAGGCTTATTACAGTTACAACTCATATTTACAATGCATAACAATTTAAATTACTCTGTAATACGGCTGAAAACCGTGTGGCCCTATGCTCCAATGCTAGCATGTTTTTCTGTTGGCCAACCTCTCACAACTGCACGTGGCTCGCATCACCTTGCCTGGCTGTCACATGACTCATACTTTTGTTCTAAATATAACTTACTGCTGTCAACCAAATGCTGAAACTGGCAATTTCAGAAACCATGATCACAAGTACCTCGTATCCCCAAGGGCCATAACTCTGTACACTGCGGCGCCTTACCGAACTGGACTGCCTGTCACACATTTGCCACAACATACCTAGTACAGCAGCAGCCTCAAAGACCTACAGAACCACTCAGTGCGCAGGGAAAGAACAGATCACAGCGAAACACTGACATTACCTGCAGACAAAGTAGCGGATGACATTAGCGTGACAGACGATGATCTCGTAGCTGTCCTCTGTCTGGTCGGGGTCAGCTCGGTGGAAATATTTCCGAAAGGCTGCTTCCACCCTCGCCCCTTCTTTGTAAAACTGCTAGAAGTAAGACATTATAAAGAAATGTGCAAATAATGATAAAATAAACAAAAACAACAAAAAAGGAATAGTGTCCAAAATCCAAACAGACTACTGGATACAACAATATATTCTGATGATGTGTCACTGTCATTCCACATTGACTGTCAAAGATTTTTCTAATCTTTCAAAATACCAATACATGTAGATATATAAAAAGAACCACTTCAAACCGAAGATTCATTAATTCAAACACCGTTGCTACTTTAGTTGCCACATCCTCCTGCTTACCTGTATAATCTTCTCAATCAGACACCACACCAACTTTCCTGTATAATCTTCTCAATCAGACACATCACACCTGCTTACCTGCATAAACTTCTCAATCAGACACATCACACCTGCTTACCTGCATAAACTTCTCAATCAGACACATCACACCTGCTTACCTCCACAACCTTTTTTCTCAATCAGACACATCACAACTGCTTACCTCCATAACCTTCTCAATCAGACACACCATACCTGCTTACCTGTATATTCTTCTCAGACACATCACACCAACTTACCTGTATAATCTTCTCAATCAGACACATCACACCTGCATAATCTTCTCAATCAGACACATCACACCTGCTTACCTGCATAATCTTCTCAATCAGACACATCAAACCTGCTTACCTGCATGATCTTCTCAATCAGACACACCATACCTGCTTACCTGTATATTCTTCTCACACATCATACCTGCTTACCTGTATATTCTTCTCAGGCACATCACACCAACTTACCTGTATAATCTTCTCAATCAGACCCACCATACCTGCTTACCTGTATATTCTTCTCACACATCACACCTGCTTACCTGTATATTCTTCTCAGACACATCACACCTCCTTACCTGTATAATCTTCTCAATCAGACACATCACACTTGCATACCTGCATAATCTTCTCAATCAGACACATCACACCTGTTTACCTGTATAATCTTCTCAATCAGACACATCACACCTGCTTACCTGTATATTCTTCTCACACATCACACCTGCTTACCTGTATATTCTTCTCAGACACATCACACCTGTTTACCTGTGTAATCTTCTCAATCAGACACACCATAGCTGCTTACCTGTATATTCTTCTCAGGCACATCACACCAACTTACCTGTATAATCTTCTCAATCAGACACATCACACCTGCTTACCTGTATAATCTTCTCAATCAGACACCACACCAACTTACCTGTATAATCATTTCAATCAGATACATCACACCTGCTTACCTGTATAATCAATCAGACACATCACACCTGCTTACCTGTATAATTTTCACAATCAGACACATCACACTTGCATACCTGCATTATCTTCTCTATCAGACAGATCACACCTGCTTACCTGTATAATCTTCTCAATCAGACACATCACACCTGTTTACCTGCATAATCTTCTCAATCAGACACCACACCAACTTACCTGTATTATCTTTTCAATCAGACACATCACACCTGCTTAACTGTATAATCAATCAGAAACATCACACCTGCTTACCTGTATAATCTTCTCAATCAGACAGATCACACATCTGTATCACACATGTCACACCTGTCTACCTGCTTACCTGTAGCTACAGACTATCTTGCATATCAGTTTGAACCTACCGCTTCTTCAGGCCTCCAGTGAGCGGACGGGGGCTCTGGGGGTATTGGTGCACCCTCTCGCAACAAGTCGTTCCGTACTATTGACAAGTGAGGCACATGCTTGTGAATGATGTCAGCTGTCTCCTTCGCTCGAGTCATCGTAGATGATATCAGGATGGTGTAGGGTAGGTTGAGATCCTTAAGTCTCCTCCCGGTAATGTCTGCTTGTTCTTGGCCTGTGGTGTTTAAAGGATGGATTTGATATCAATAGATCTGACAATAAAAGCAAATGGAGAATTACTCAATCTGACCATAGTTTCACCAACAACTTACACATTAAAGAAAAGGCCTCCCCATAGTCTGATTGATTGAGCATCTGCCTGGAGAGCAGGCTGGTTGGTTGATTCCTGGCCATATTTCACAATAAAAACTTGAAAATTGTATTTGTTATTACCCTGCCTGGTGCTTAGAATGTGACAGGCAGGCACACACAATTGTGGTCCGTTGTAAAATAGGAATTTATCTTCCCTGTAAGAGGAAATTTGGTTCAGCTTAGGTGGTACGGATGAAATTATCAAATGTAAGAGAATTCTCATGAAACACTTGTGAATTGTTGGTGTTTAGAGACAAGGACTAGGACTGAGATCCAGAGGATGGCAGGGAGATGAAGGGACAGGCTGCAGGCAGCAGAAGATAATGAATGAGTGAGTTTGGTTTAACCCATGAACAAGAGTGGGGTGCCAACAGTCAATACATTTTCAGCACCAACCAGAAAATGAACCAATGCTCTTTTGTTTGTGCATGCCCAATACAAGGGAAACAACTCTGTACAGCAAATGTCTGCAACTGGGTGACCTACGTCTCACCAGGACTTCACACACAAAACTCCCAAGGTATACTGCTTCTAGAAATAACACAAACCCAGTTTAGTGAGGAATCTGCCCAGGTCATCTGAGGACTCCATGTTGTACTGTCCATGACGAATCAGCAACAGATGACGGGTAGCCTTAGAAGTCTTTGTTTTCAGTTCATTTGTTGTTGTGTCGGAATCCTTGTCTTTGTCATGTTTGGAGGGTTTAACTAGGTTTTCTGGCTCACGTCTGAAACACAAGAAAGATACTTCCAATAATCTTTGGATATTGTCCACAAATTCATTTGGCAAAGTTTTTTTCTTTGTTTTCATACTGATTTCACTTAAAATGACAGCTTATTCTTTGTACTATATGGAACAAGTTTTTATGGATAACAACTTCTTTATTTGGTGAGTGCGACGTTTCGATACAGATTTTTGTACCGTTGTCAAGCAAGAGTGATACATAAAGTGGCTTGACAACGGTACAAAAATCTGTATTGAAACGTCGCACTCACCAAATAAAGAAGTTGTTATCCATAAAAACTTGTTCCACGTCTCAACTTCTAAAATGCCACTCAAACAAGGTATTCTTTGTACTGTTAATGCATCAGTTCTCTGTGCTTACAGCCTTAATATGGGCAGTGGGAAGGAGGAGGGAACTGGTCCAGCAATTCAGGACATTCAAACAGCAATTTATTTAAAAGTCTGTTTACTTAAATTTAATGAAGAAATCCATAACAGAATTAACAATTGCTTCAATCACACAGAAACAATTAAGTAACAATAAGAACCCTTAATTATCCATTATAATGAATCTCCATTCTTTTATGAAAAATACCCTGGACTCAACACCCTGTAGCTCCTGGATAAGTGGTCAACAAATACACCCCTTAAAATAAAAACAGTCAAATGATACTCCCTGTTCTAATGACACTCATGTTTCACAGCTGTATGCACAAAAATACATGCAAAAGTTCAGTAATCACATAAATCTCTCTAAGGCCTTAACTACACATACTGTGGAAAGAATTCCAACACTGTTCTTTTTGTAGACATGTTAGCTAGGTTGGGTTTAACTCTAACCATGATTTAATTCACAGCTAATTCACTTTCATATTACTTTTAGATGTAATGTAGGTCTTTATAATTAATAAATAATAACACATAGTATTTTAGTCAAAGTGGTTTGAATGATCGGAGGTCTCATATGTCGGTATTGTGGTTTTGGTAAGGCTATAACACAATTGTTTTACAGTTGGATACATGTGTGTACACGACCCAGATGTGGTTGCATAACATATCATCATGGCACAGATATCGCTTTTATGATCACAACAGTCTTCACAGTCATGATTTCATCAGGGAAAGAGATGATGCAGGAAGCAATGAAGGACATTACATCAATACATCTAGTTTAAGTATTTGAGAATCTCTGCACCTGTCCCAGTTATAGTCCCATTTCACGCTTGGTTGATGCGAGTATCCCCATTCACGTTTTGCTGAATAAGCAACGTTTGTATCTTTAGATTTCTCGTGAAAAAGAACACCAATTGCAGCTATAGCACCGGCTGTTCCCAATCCGTATTTCCGGATGAAATATCCGATTCTTGCTCTCCAAACCATTTTGAATGTTTTTTGCAATTTTGCGGCAAGGGAATCACGTGTGCTTCCTGGTCTTTGGGACCAGTCGTTAGATGTTTCTTGTGTGCATGTTTTCTAAACACAAATATGAGTAATGAATCAACGAATAAACTCATAATATATTCTGTGTAAAGTAATATTTCAACAAAAGTTACATAGAAGGTAGAATTATCTTATGCACGAAAAGAATGATTAAATGTGCATTGTTTGTTCGGCTTATGCGCCAAGAAACGGTCCCCCGGTTGGTTGTCGCAATATGGCTGCGACTGTAGTCAAACATGCTTTGTATCCTGATGCAACAATCACCATGGCGTTGTTTAGAGACGTTACGAATGCAGCAGAGCTTCGACAACATGTCATGAAGGGAGAATTCGAGGCTTCCCTCTTGAAACCAGCAATGGTACGTAAATCCATTCCAGGGATACCCTCCAGGTTTCACCTGAACAAATCTATGGTAGCGACTTTAGGGGTCCCTCACCTATCACTTGAATCAGAGACCATATATATTGTATGGTCTCTGCTTGAATGCAGTGCTTTCACGGTTACTCTGTAAAACGTCACCGTCCTTCTTTGGCGAAAATCTAAATGTCGAATGAAAAGGAGAATAAATTAGGTAAGTAGAAATTCATTAGTAAGTGCCCAATGCTGATACAACACTTTGATATTGATAACTGAAAAGTTGTTCTAAACAGTATTAAACACACGTCACTGTAGTTGTTTATTGTATGTTTCAGATTGTGGATCCATTCCAAGTCCTTGTAGCTGCCAATAAAGCTGTACATTTACAACGCAGTGGGAAAATGATGACAAGAAATGTTCACACAGAGATACTCTTCAGTCTTTCACCCTCAAAAAATGTAAGATCACTAAATTGTCAAACAAACTGTCTCAAACTCAATTATTGACAGGTTACTGTAAGGGTGGTGAGTTAGCCCAGTGGTTAAAGCGTTCGCTTGTCACACTGAAGACCCGGGTTCGATTCCCCACATAGGTACCATGTGTGAAGCCCATTTCAGGTGTCCCCTGCTGTGATGTTACTGGAATGTTGCTAAACGCGGCATAAAACTAAACTCAGTCATTCAGTACAGGCTGCTGTCCTATAACTTAGCTTCTGAAATATTGTGAAGTGTCGACTTTAAACCAAGTGAACAATACTTTCATGATGTTCACGGTATGTATTAACAATTTGACTTTCACTGGCTTAACACTCTCAGACCTATATACCTATACCTGGATAGTTTTGGTAATCAAATATCATACAAATTCGAACATGAGCTAAAATGTTACCCGTATCAGTCAAAAGATGCAGAAAATATAGGTAAAGTATCTGGGTCCCGATCAACAAAGTGTTCGTAGTGCCAATACCTTCGTAAGCTTATGATAAACTATAGCGTAACGACATGTCGCAATGTTATGAATGCTTTGTGGATCAGGGCCAAGTTATCTATAGTGGTTGTACTTGATGTGTTTGTTGTCATTTGATATCCATTGTTTTGAAGATTTCAGATTCATTCAAGAAATTCGGTTTGGGTGACTCTGATACATCAGCTTTAGTTGTGATCATCAATGACAACAATGGCAGCACACTGACAGCTGTGACAGACAAGGTGCAAGGAAGACTGGTTGATGTCACAGAAGTTAAAGAGCTCACAGACTCAAACATAGTGAATAAGGTTTGTACAATATCAAGGAAACATTTAATTGTAATATTTCACAACACAGGTAAAAGTAATAAAGTGCACCCGGTTGTCATTTTCTGAAATGTAAGACCCACCCTATGTTAAGTTTCAGAATATGGTATTTGCTTATGTTCTAGTGTCCCCTTTGGATGTCTCTGGGATTTGGGTACCAAATCATCAACATTTTGAATCTTTTGAGTCCTGTTGATCGTATTTTTTAGCATTGAACTATTGGTCAAGCTTTGAAAGTCTCTTTCTTCCTAATCGATCATTGTGTTCTATTGTGAAACTAACTTTTGTAAAGATATGACACATATATGAGAGTTCACCTTTGCCTGATTTTGAAAATTTGAATTGCACTATTTTAAGGAGATTTGCCATAAATCTTACTATTGCTTCTTGAATGGGCTGTTCAAGTTGGACAACCTCTGCCTCATCCATCTGACTTTGTAATGTCAAAAACAAACATAGAGCGATATATCAGTTTCTTCTGAAAATAAGTCTTTAACTTTTGCCACGCCATTGTTTGTTTGTTTGTCCCAGGTGTACAAGCTCACTGAGGAAGAGCTGACTATATCATCTCCACTGGACTCCATCACGACAAGGATTGCAGCGAAGGAAATGGCCGTTGTTTGACACACACCAGCTACTGTTCTGCTCTATAGATTTGAATGAACATGTAAATTGAAAATAAACAATATCTGTCACTACTTTCTTCGGTATTTGGTCTAACACATTAACCGTCAAGAAGACACATATTCCTCTACACTGCAATTACGGTTAGGATTGCCTTAAGAATCATATTTACATTCAACTCATATTCAGAAAACATTATGAAAGTTTGGGGATGTTACAACTCGTGTCCAATGTGGGTCCTCTTGTCTGCAGTCACCTCTTGTCCCTAGTTACCTTTTGTAACAAATCACAAGCTGAATCGAACCTGTGAGTGAGATTGAGTTTGGTTTTACACCACACTCAGCAATATTCCAGGTATATGGTGGCAGTCTGTAAATAATCGAGTCTGGACCAGACAATCCAGTGATCAACAGCATGAGCATCGATCTGCACAATTGGGAACCGATGACGTGTCAACCAAGTCGGCGAGCCTGACCACCCGATCCCGTTAGTTGCCTCTTACGACAAGCATAGTCGCCTTTTGTGGCAAGCATGGGTTGCTGAAGACCTATTCTACCCCGGATCTTCATGGGTGGAATTGAACCTGTGGATCAGTGTAAATCATGTTGTTGATAACATCAGGGAGGGCCTGCTGACAAACCTATTTGAGAGTTACCCACCCACCCGACCAAGGATTAATAATTTCTATAACTTCCCTGGTTAATGATTAATTCTGAGTTATGATCAAAATGTTAACAGCTGAAGTCAGCTTTCAATTTGCCACAGATTCCCTAATATGAACACCTACTGTACATGTGTCAAGTCTGTGCAGTTTGATAATAAATACCGGTACATATATCCAGAACAATAGAGTCCCTTTTTTGTTGCAAATAGTGTTTTGCATTGCATACAGAAATGCAAGGAAACAAACGAGAGACTTGCTGATGCTGTAAACCACCAGTTTGGTCCATTCTAGATTGTTCACTCTTTACAGTGACAGTGGGAATGTTGCTCACTGTGGTGAAAAATAACTTACACTCACTTACAGAGATTTAGGAGTGAGTACAGCATGAACATTGATACGATGACATGTGTCAACCAAGCCAGCGAGCCTGACCAGCTAATCCTGTTGCCTCTTACGACAAGCATGGGTTACTGAAGATCAGTTCTAACCCAGATCTTCACGGACCTGAGAATAAGGAGAGCCCATAGTGTGTGTGTGTGTGTGTGAGAGAGAGAGCGGTGCAAGGTTGAATTTGACAATGTTATATTAGAAATAAGAGATGAATGGCTTTAAGATGTTCCTGAACTCAGGGGACACCACACCTGAAGACCCTTCCAAGGAAGAGTCCTATTAGATGGTTCAGTCATTTCAAAGAAGGCTCATAGTTATTTTCAACATGTTTAAATATGTGTTCAAGATTCTGCTATGTATTCCAGCTGGGACACACCTCTTTTCTTCATCCACATCTATCAGGTGCTATTTTCAACAATATACTTCAACAATATATTTATGTATATCACAAATTCCATTTTTATTTATTGCAATTACTAAATACAGTTCTTGACATCACAAATTATGACAATACAACACAAGATTATCAACCAATTATACCATCATTGAAATATCGTAACACAAGTATAAAAATAGTGTTATCTTTCAAATCCCAAAGAATGTTTTAGGACACATGTATTGTCATTTTGTTATATAATTTCACGCAGAAATAAAAAAACGAACTCAGTCTCCCTTATACAAGTGTCAGGAAAAACGACGACCCCACCCTGTCACCACCACGCCACATATTCACATTGTAGGAAGTAACAGTAAAATCCCTCAGAGCGTTTTTCGCCATAAATGTAAGAGTAGATAACTCTAATTAGAACGTGAATTTTGTAAACAACATGGCTGACATTCTGTTCAAATTGCAGAAGGACGGTATAAATAAGAAGATCTTGTATGCTGGGAAGGGCGATTTTCCTCCCTTTAAGGATGGATCAAGGGTAGACATTTCCATTATTGTAACTGACCTGTTGATGGATAGATATGTTCAATAGGCATTACAGTATTTAGTTTGATGATGTTGACGAGTATTGTCGATTATTTTTATGAAATTATGTTTCTCAATTTGGTTACAGTCAGCCTAGAATCTTTCGAGAACCACAAAATCAATACATGTTGATGAATGTGTTGTTGTGTCGTTTACAATGCATTTTGTTGATTGTACTAAGATCTACTGAAACATCCAACGGACGTCAGTATCATCCGTAATAATTTCACCAACAAATATGCAACAGGCACTAATGCCAGCGATCGGGTGTGGCTTGGGAACCCCATTAAATTGTGACTAAATGTGGAAATAATACAGTCCAGGCTGTTTGAATTCAGGTCAATGAAAAGTAGTAATGCTATAGTAAGAGTATTGGATCAAATAATCATTTTAATGAATAGTTACCATGCAGACCTACAAGCTCATGTCAGTTATATTGGGCCACTTGGCGTAATTTCCATATATACTTGCATGTTATTTCAGTGAAGCATAAATAATTTTCATGAAGTTTTGGATGGATCTTTGCAAAATCTGACATCATGTCATTCACTTCAGCATCTGTCTGGATCTTGTCAATATAAGCGTAGCAAACTACTGAAAGTAAATGTCTACTGATCTATAAAATCTTCTATAAATATGGCATATAACATTCACTCACTTGTTATTTTTTTTAAAAGAAGCAAATAATTCATGCATGCACCCTTGGTTTGAAACTGGTTGAAGTGTTTCTCCTTATGAGTATTTGATTGTGGTTTTATTGGATATGTTTTGAGCGAATCAACAATAGACTGGGAGAAAACTTGTGCACAGATGTCTGATGATAGCTATTTCTGGCTTAGTTCCTGAGACAATACGCAAAGTTATATTAATCTCTGCATATGCATATAACAGGAGAATGATTATATGTGGAAAATTATTATGTCAACTGATGTTTTATCCCAATTTGCAAACTTTTATTGACCACAAATTTGTTAATAACTATTCATTTAAACATGAATATGCTGAAGGGTACCAATATGTATTTCTCTGCACATGTTATTTCAAAACATTTCTCAAAGACTCTGCACATGCTGAATTTGCATGATTTGGGTCTCACATGCTTGACTTGATGAATCTGTTGAAAATGAAAGGTCACCTCACTTAAGATTTGCTTGATTGAAGCCTGGGTAAGCTGTAGACTGAATCGGGGTTTCAGCTCACCTTCCATTACAAGACAAGTAAATGTGACGAGAACAAGACAGTTCTAGATGACAGTCGGAAACATGCCAAGCCCCTCGAGATTATCCTTGGCAAGAAGTTTAAGTTGGAGGTGTGGGAGATGTGTCTTCAGACTATGAAGGAGGGAGAGGTTGCTGAGTTCATCTGTGATATGAAGGTAACCTGCCATGGTTTGTACCAGACCTATCCAGGAGTTGTCTGTACACACTGGGGCTGATATCATATGCAGCATCAAGTCTCTGGAAATTGTCAGTAAAGAATTCCCTGGTTGGAAAAATAGCAATTTACCAATTCATGTTAATATTATTGTGACTTATGATAATGCTTTTGTAGGGGTACTTCTACATCAGCAGAACCAATAAATAGGATGCTCAGTTAAAATACCTAATGCTCAGTTAAAATACCTCCGAATTCGAGAGAGTTGTGCATATTGAATGAGAGAGTTGTGCATGTTGAATGAGAGGGTTGTGCATGTTGAATGAGAGGGTTGTGCATGTTGAATGAGAGAGTTGTGCATGCTGAATGAGAGAGTTGTGCATGTTGAATGAGAGAGTTGTGCATGTTGAATGAGAGGGTTGTGCATGTTGAATGAGAGAGTTGTGCATGTTGAATGAGAGAGTTGTGCATGCTGAATGAGAGAGTTGTGCATGTTGAATGAGAGGGTTGTGCATGTTGAATGAGAGAGTTGTGCATGTTGAATGAGAGAGTTGTGCATGCTGATTGAGAGAGTTGTGCATGTTGAATGAGAGGGTTGTGCATGGTGAATGAGAGGGTTGTACATGCTGATTGAGAGAGTTGTGCATGTTGAATGAGAGGGTTGTGCATGTTGAATGAGAGGGTTGTACATGCTGATTGAGAGAGTTGTGCATGTTGAATGAGAGGGTTGTGCATGTTGAATGAGAGGGTTGTGCATGTTGAATGAGAGGGTTGTGCATGTTGAATGAGAGGGCTGTGCATGTTGAATGAGAGAGTTGTGCATGTTGAATGAGAGGGTTGTGCATGTTGAATGAGAGGGTTGTGCATGTTGAATGAGAGAGGGTTGTGCATGTTGAATGAGAGAGTTGTGCATGTTGAATGAGAGGGTTGTGCATGTTGATATGAGAGAGTTGTGCATGTTGAATGAGAGAGTTGTGCATGTTGAATGAGAGAGTTGTGCATGTTGAATGAGAGAGTTGTGCATGTAGATTGAGAGAGTTGTGCATGTTGAATGAGAGAGTTGTGCATGTAGATTGAGAGAGTTGTGCATGCTGAATGAGAGAGTTGTGCACATTGATTGAGAGCATTAAACATGTTGAATGAGAGAGTTAAAAATGTGAATGAGAATTTTTATCATAAATAAAGGAGTTTTAAACCCTGTTGAAAAGAGGATTTGTCTGTTTATCAGTATCTTTCCAATTTGATCATTCACTCTGTAGCATGTGGCCACCTACCCACTGGTGGCCAAGAGTCTACGCCAGATCCATGCAGGGAAATCAGACAACCACCAGCATGCCAGCCACTGTTGTGGCATGATGAACATGGCAGAACATGGTCTAGGTCATGCCGACCTAGATGAACTGATGAAGACTCCACAACCCCTCTCCTTCACACTTGGTAAGGCCACAGAGTACGTAGTGCTGTCCATTACAGCAACATTGGGATTTATACCCACAGCATTGTTAGAATGGCTGCAAGATGATCGTGTTTGTTTCTTTGTTCTGAATATGATGGATCTACGTTTGTTTGCTACCAGCAACATGACAACAACCTGTAATTATATATTTCTGGACCAAATAATCCTGTAATTGATATTATTCCCATAAATAGATTACAATAACACAGTCAAGTTAGTCAGCTTGCATGACCCCCAGATCCTTTAAGTCACCTCTCAAGACCAGGATAGACTGTTTTGCACCGATTTAAATCCAAAATCTCCAGAAGGAGAAATAATCTTGTGAAATAATCTGAAGCAAGAATTCCTGCGATGTACTGGCCATTCATCGGGTAAACGTTTGTACAGCACTCAAATGATACAGATAACGCATGGTACAATGAACTGTACACCGCTTTATTGACACAGATAGTTCACAGTGTCAGCACGTAGAGTGTTTTAGTTCCTAAATCATATTGGGCACTATATAAATTCTGTATATTATTATTCTAATCACAGTACTGTCAGTACTTTTGAAACATCTTTGACAGAAGAGAAAACAAATGATGTCAAGTCTTCAATCCTACTTGTCATGAACACCTGTGTTAATCTGGCAACTTTATTGTTGGTCTTTGTAGAGTTGGTAAAGTTTGAAGAGCCAGAATCGTTTGATAAGGAAGTGTGGACGATGAGTGAGGATGAGAAACTGGCCACTGTCCCCAAGTTGAAAGAGGAAGGCAATGAGCTGTATGGCAAGAAGCTCTACAAGGAGGCTGCGGATGTGTATGCTAAGGCAATTGGAATACTGGAACAGCTCATTCTGAAGTAAGTGTAGGTTTGCCTACGGTAATAGCAGTATAGGACAGCTAATTCTGAAGTAAGTGTAGGTTTGCCTACGGTAATAGCAGTATAGGACAGCTAATTCTGAAGTAAGTGTAGAACCTAGCATTGTCGTCTAGTCAACTATTCTATTGATTCTTGAAATTTTCCACTTATTATATATTTGCACAACTATCTGGGTGTGTGATATATGTGAAACTGTTTCTGGATGTATGGGTAACTCTCTGTGTGAGTGTTCAACCAGCTGTATGTGCAACTGTCTCTGGATGTATGGGTAACTCTCTGGGTGAGTGTTCAACCAGCTGTATGTGCAACTGTCTCTGGATGTATGGGTAACTCTGTGGGTGAGTGTTCAACCAGCTGTATGTGCAACTGTCTCTGGATGTATGGGTAACTCTCTGGGTGAGTGTTCAACCAGCTGTATGTGCAACTGTCTCTGGATGTATGGGTAATGTAGTGTTGGGTAACTCTCTGTGGGTGAGTGTTCAACCAGCTGTATGTGCAACTGTCTCTGGATGTATGGGTAACTCTGTGGGTGAGTGTTCAACCAGCTGTATGTGCAACTGTCTCTGGATGTATGGGTAACTCTCTGGGTGAGTGTTCAGCCAGCTGTATGTGAAACTGTCTCTGGATGTATGGGTAACTCTGTGGGTGAGTGTTCAACCAGCTGTATGTGAAACTGTCTCTGGATGTATGGGTAACTCTGTGGGTGAGTGTTCAACCAGCTGTATGTGCAACTGTCTCTGGATGTATGGGTAACTCTCTGGGTGAGTGTTCAACCAGCTGTATGTGAAACTGTCTCTGGATGTATGGGTAACTCTGTGGGTGAGTGTTCAACCAGCTGTATGTGAAACTGTCTCTGGATGTATGGGTAACTCTGTGGGTGAGTGTTCAACCAGCTGTATGTGAAACTGTCTCTGGATGTATGGGTAACTCTCTGTGTGAGTGTTCAACCAGCTGTATGTGCAACTGTCTCTGGATGTATGGGTAACTCTGTGGGTGAGTGTTCAGTGTTCAACCAGCTGTATGTGAAACTGTCTCTGGTATGTAACTCTCTGGGTGAGTGTTCAACCAGCTGTATGTGAAGAGAGTGTTCAGCCAGATGTATGTGTAACTCTGTTGCTATGGTGAGTGTTCAACCAGCTGTATGTGCCCCTGTCTCTGGATGGATGGGTCAGCCAGCTGTATGTGAGTGTTCAACCAGCTGTATGTGGAACTGTCTCTGGATGTATGGGTAACTCTCTGGGTGAGTGTTCAACCAGCTGTATGTGCAACTGTCTCTGGATGGATGGTTCAACCAGCTGTAGTGTTCAACCAGCTGTACTGTCTCTGGATGTATCTCTGGATGTATGGGTAACTCTCTGTGGGTGAGTGTTCAGCCAGCTGTATGTGCAACTGTCTCTGGATGTATGGGTAACTCTCTGGGAGAGTGTTCAACCAGCTGTATGTGAAAAACTGTCTCAACCAGCTGGATGTATGGGTAACTCTGTGGGTGAGTGTTCAACCAGCTGTATGAGAAACTGTCTCCAGATGTATGTGCCCCTGTGTTGCTGGGAGAGTGTGTTCAGCCAGCTGTATGTGAAACTGTCTGCTGATGATGTATGGGTTAACTCTGTGGGTGAGTGTTCAACCAGCTGTATGATGTATGGGTAACTCTGTGGGTGAGTGTTGCCCTGGTGTATGTATGGGTAACTCTGTGGGTGAGTGTTCAACCAGCTGTATGTGCAACTGTCTCTGGATGTATGGGTAACTCTGTGGAGTGTTCAGCCAGCTGTATGTGCAACTGTCTCTGGATGTATGGGTAACTCTCTGGGTGAGTGTTCAACCAGCTGTATGTGCCCCTGTGTTGCTATGGAGAGAGTGTTCCACCAGCTGTATGTGCCCCTGTGTTGCTATGGAGAGAGTGTTCAACCAGCTGTATGTGCCACTGTGTTGCCAGGGAGAAGCCAGGTGAGGAGGAGTGGGAGGAGCTGGAGAAGATGAAGCTGCCGTTCCTACTGAACTTCTCCCAGTGTAAACTGCTGGAGCAGGACTACTACCCCGTCATAGAACACACCACCACTGTACTTAAGAGGGAGCCAGGTGAGTATGTCACACCACAACCACACTCCACATGCTCTCAACCCATGAAGATCCAGGTTAGAATTGGTCTTTAGTATGCTTGTTGTAAGCGGCGACCAATGGGTTCAGGGGGTCAGGCTCATTGACTTGGTTGACATGTCATCATATCTGAGTTGTGTAGATCTATGCTCATGATGTTGATCACTGGATTGTCTGGTCCGGACTCGGTTAATTACAGACTACCACCATTTAGCTGTGATATTGCTTTGCATTAAACAACAAACTCATCATGCTGAGAGGAAGATTCAAAATCTGTTTTAGATAATGAATGAAATCTTGCCTGTTTTCTACTGACTACAGATATATCACTTCTTGTTGGACTTGTTTGGTAAGAATCGCCATGTACATAGATTATTATTTTTATATGTTTTTATTGTTTTGTTACAGACAATGTGAAGGCTTTGTTTCGGAGAGCTAAGGCCCATGTTGGTGCGTGGAATCCTGATGATGCTCGTAATGACTTTAACCGTGTCCTACAATTAGATCCATCTCTGTCTAACGCAGTGAAGAAGGAGCTGATAATGTTAGACGATATGATCAAAAAGAAGGCTGAGCAAGACAAGCAGTCCCTCAAGGGAATGTTTGATCAACACGGGTAACATGACTCAGAAATTTGATCAACATATCCCAGCCCAAATGGTTGATCAACATGGCTAGCAAAGCTCAGAGACATTGATAGAGAGGATGATTTGTTGTGGATCTGTTCACTAATGTTTAAGTTCTTTGACAGTTCTTGTGTTGAAGTCATATCAGTATTTCAGTTTGTATACACTACGTTCCTCCATCACCTGTAATTATATATGACCCGTTTGTGCTATAGTCGGTATTTTTAGTTTATTGTCTATCTTCACTTGACTAAACATTTCATTTTACCTGTGATTGGGGAATATAGTGTAAACAAACATATTGATGATATGTGGAAGTCAAGGAAATACATTTATGTCTTCAAATCTCTTGGGTTCCCTATCATTATGAACATGGTGGGCGATCAATGCATGGCAAGGGCAGGTAACCCAACCAAAACATCTGAAATGTCTATTTTATTGACTTGCTGCACGATTGCTCAGTATGAAAAGCTAAATATATTTTTTGTGTTATGAATACCTGGACTTGTTTAACAAGTTGATGACTGATCAGGATTGTCTGTTGGTTGAAATGATCCATGATGTTTTGTTGGTTAAAATGCTCAGTGGTACATGTGTCTGTTTGTTGAAATGCTTTGTGATATGGTTTGGCGTCAGCTTGATTTGGGTCACAGTCAGATTATCTGATGTTTTGGGACATGATGCTTTCAAAAGCACAATCTACATTTTCAGTCAGAAATGAAATTTTAAAATTAAATAGTTATAAAATGTATCCCAATGCCAAAGTTTTCACGGATTTTGGAAGAGTTGAACTGTAAACTGCAATTATGCCAGCATGCATTCAGTTAGGTACTGACTTGAATATTTTCTGCATTTATGGAGGTATAGCCTAGCAGAGTTACAGTGTGAACATTGTTTTTAATGGTTTTAACTAGGGGTGTCACGATACACCAATTTCACGATACGATACGTATCACGATTTTAAGGTCACGATACGATGCGTATCGCGATACATAATTTTCGCGCCTTTTCATAGCATTACCTTACCGGCAACGTACGCGCTTGCTGATTGGTCCATCAAAATAGTCTAGCCAATCACAAAAGCTGTTAGTTTCCAACCTATTTTTTAAGTAAAGCTAGCTACATCTATTTATCGGAGCGATCTCGTATAATTTTACTATCAAGACTTTGAAGGAGATGGATATAGCATAAAAAATTGAATCGATAAAGTTTTAAAATAGGAATCGATACGCGCAAGCATGTATCGCGTATCGTATCGTCAGTAAAAATGTATCGATGCATCGATACATTCACGTATCGCGACACCCCTAGTTTTAACTCCATTTATGGTTAATGGTCTAATTGGTTATTATTTATAAACAGCAAAAAACATTGATTGGTTAGCTGGACTTTAGCACTGCAATTTATGTATTGTTGAAATTACATGCTTCCATATATTGTGTGGATGGTTTCAGTGTCTTGTGTCATCTAGCTAAATGACACATACTCTGTGTTCTGTGTTGGACACATACTTTGTTCTCTGTTAGATACTTACTGGGGTGGGGGTGTTTAGCCTAGTGGTTAAAGCGTTGGCTCGTCATGCCGAAGACCCGGGTTCGAATCCCCACATGGGCACATTGTGTGAAGCCCATTTCTGGTGTCCCCCGCCGTGATATTGCTGGAATATTGTTAAAAGCGGCGTAAAACCATACTCACTCACTCACTTACTGTGGGGAATCAGGGTTACAACTGTCTCCAGCAGCCTGTGCTAGTCAACATACCCAGTCAGTGTGGATCATCAATCACTGATTTGTCTGGTCCAGACTGTTAGACACCGAGTGTGTTCTGTGTTAGATACCTACTATGGGGAATCTGGTTGTTACATTAGTGTAAAGCTGTGAAAATCTAGATCATATATATTATAACTGTCAGTATGACTCTTTAGATAAATTAGAATACTTTTGATTGGTTAATAGCCAATGCATTATGGGTAGTATGACTCCATCTTAAACTGTTCCAATGGGAGCATGGACAACCATGACAGTTTGTGACCTTTAACATTGAAATCCACTTCACTTGGAGAATTCAACAATTATCATCATGAACATTTCTTTTCACTAAGATTTTCAATCAAAATTCTATGAAGTGGCAGTAGGCAGACCTGAAGATGTATTATTTGAAATAAGTCCCTTAAAATACAGCTTTTGAGTCTACAAGAGTTATGTCCCTTTGAATATCAATCAATAATTTTCGTGTGCGACAACAGTCATGGAGAAAAGCTTTGAGTCCATTGCTTTGTATTGAAGCATTACACTTAAATGCAAGCACAATTGCATCTTACTGAAACACATTATCTAAACAAAACTTTGTTAGGAACGCATCAATCAAGTATTTTCAATGTTGTATGAATGTATAGCAATTTTATGTTGTATTAGCAATACTACTGTATTTGGGAAAGTTTTGTTCAGGTGTGTTTTCAACTGTGAAAACAAAATGTCTGCCCGACATAAGCCAGGAATAGAAAGCAGTGTGTTAGATGACTGATACTGCTCTACAAACAGTATTGGTGTTATTTGTAATAAACTTTAGCAGGAATGGAATCTTATAGGAGTTGAACAGTGTCCTGCTTTATCAAGGTGCTTGTGACAACAGGGTTTTAATCCTTCATCCTGTGTGGGGCATAGTGTCCAGAGTATTTGAAGGCTCCTCAGTTCGCTCTGCAGAGTTGTCTCCCTTAGGTCTTCCAGAAACCTGCACTTGTTGGTTCGAATCGTAAATGTTTCTAGGTTTCCCACCTGGCCTGTAGGTTTCACCAAAGTGAAAACTGCAAGACACCTCTCAGATCAAGCTAATGCCTGTACAAGGTGAGAGTATCAATGTAAACATGTACAAGCCACCTTTTTCAGGCTATCGGACTTACAAAACATATTTTCATCTGTTTTGTTATTTAACTATTGTACAGCATTGTTGTTGTTCTTCAGCATGACATTTGTATTGTATTAATGTTAAAAAATGTATAAATAGTTAATTCTCATGTGTTGTGTTATTTTCGAAACTCAAAATTAAAAATTTAAAACAATTAAAGCTTATGCAGGTTTGTTGTCATTCTTAGCAGAAAGATGACAGTGTGGAGATTGAGATCATAAAACATTTGGTATGCAGCTAGTGCTACTAGGAAGTCAAGTATGGGTGTGCTTGTCCCTGCAAGATATTTTGACATTACCCCATTCCACCTGTAAGGTCATTAAAAGAGGTACAATAACATACAGGCTGTCACGAAAATTACTTTCATGTGAAACTGGTCGTCTACGTATTAATATATCAAGTCACTTCACAACAAACAAAGACAACAGGTGCTTGTTTTCTGGCATTTTTATTGTTCCATGTCTTATAAGATATTTACAGTATGTTACTAGCAGCATCAGACACCTGGTCTGCCTGGAGGGCCGTGTGTACACAGATCTAGAACCAGTTGTGCTGCATCAACCTGACAACACCTGCTACTACTAAGTCAGCGCAGTTTCCGATGTCTGAATTCTTCTGCCCTCGTTTCCAAACACACCTTGCCAACCATGCAGCTGTTTTGTCCCAGTACCACCAGTAGATTGGACATCAAACACCTTTTTTGGATAAAATTACAAATGATCTTTGCTGCACCTTACCAAGAAGATCTACTTGACCGAAGTCTATTTTCATGTCATAGTAGTCATGAAAATGTTGACCAAAATGTCATGGCATCTGCTTTCACAATAAACCACAGCTTCGGTACAGGTCAGTACACTAATCAAAGATTATGTTCATCACACTTTAGAATCCTGATTGGACAACAACTACTCATTGTTACCAGCAAGCTGTTATGTCACAGCCGACTTTCACACATTCCAACAATTTTTAGGCAAGTTCTACTTGATCTGGAACAACACAACTGATTTATTATCTTGCACGATGCAAAGATACTGGTCCACAAACAGCACAGTTACTGTCTAAACAAAATAGTTTCATTGATTCAACTGCATAACAAATCCGTCTTTGTTGCTCTCCGTCAATGTATGTCTATCTTAGAAGTTTCACACCGAACACAGCAACATTGTACCTAAGTGACAGCAGTCTATAAACTATTGAGTCTGGACCAGACAAACCAGTGATTGATATTGTGGGCAACAATGCACAACATAGATACCGGCCTGCGAGAGAACAGTAATTATCTTTTCAAATTAGTTTAACATTGAAGGAGAGTCTGAAGTCCTACAGAGACTAAACAAATTGGTTCGGCCACCTCCAGGTTCATAATCAGTACGATGATGTTCCAGAAACTGATGTCACTGCAGTAGTACATGACGTTACAGTAGTTCACAGTTACAAAATCTAAGCCCTGTACATAACAAGCTTGTATAGTTTAAGCACAATCATTAAATTCTATGATATAGTCTATACAAACAATACAGGTGCCTATCAACAACGTGCCATGGAAGAAAACTACTCTGTAGGAAAATAGTACACTTTGACATCCTAGCACTGGGAGCTCCACACAACACTGCTGACACGATATATCTAGACAATTGGCAGTCGTCACAGACATAAGGCGTTTAACATGGTTATGTTGTTACACGTAGTGAAAGTACAACACATTTAAGGAATTCAATGTTCCTGACAATGGAATCATATCTCCCCCTCCAAGCCTGTATCATGGAAAAAAGGCTTGCGTTGAAACAACCTCTTGGTCTTGTCATTGTTAACCCTGATTACTGTCAATACCAGAGACAAATACCAGTACAAATATTGACAAATGTATCAATACTTTGACTCCCTAGTCACTTACAATGAGAGAAGCCAAATACACTGACACATGAATCATGGATATCAATGCAGAAAAAAGGCCCTGACTCAAGAGGATGATACTTCACGAGGATGTACGTTAAATATCCCTGATGAAGTGTCCACAGATGCCAGGATGGACAACCAACATCCCATAAAGTGACAATCTGTCAAGAAAAATCACCACAAAAACAATCTTTGACTATTAACTCGGGGCACGGATTGATAGCTCAAAGTGTCTGCCTCAAGCGTTGACCTGGTTTCAAATTTAATTCAGTATTTGCTGCTCTCATTTTCTTTGAGACAATGTGGTATGCCACATGGAAATAGAACAGTTCGATAATATGTACTTAAAAGCATGATTAGTGAGATTAACCAGACCACTGTTTGGATTACACAGGTTCCACTTTATGAGGTGCAGCTGTTTCCTCCATCGGCGCCTGTGAACACATCTGTGCCAGCTACTCTACATGATTCTGACACAAGTACAACATACAGATATAGTTGACCATACTTGATACACTAGATGTGCTTCACTAATACTGCTAGACATGGCTGGACTAGCTCAGCATAATCTAGGGATTGGGTCTACTCCGCACACACCACTGATGGGATCAGCTGGGATTGGGTCTACTCCGCACATCAGGATTGGGTCTACTCCGCACACACCACTGATGGGATCAGCTGGGATTGGGTCTACTCCGCACACACCACTGATGGGATCAGCTGGGATTGGGTCTACTCCGCACACACCACTGATGGGATCAGCTGGGATTGGGTCTACTCCGCGCACACACCACTGATGGGATCAGCTGGGATTGGGTCTACTCCGCACACACCACTGATGGGAACAGCTGGGATTGGGGAACCACTGATGAGGGTTTACTCGCCTTTTACACCACTTGGGGCTGGGATTGGGTCTACTCAGCGCACACACCACTGATGGGAACAGCTGGGATTGGGACTCCGCGCACACACCACTGATGGGATCAGCTGGGATTGGGTTTACTCCGCGCACACACCACTGATGGGAACAGCTGGGATTGGGTCTACTCCGCACAAACCACTGATGGGATCAGCGGGGATTGGGTTTACTCCGCGCACACACCACTGATGGGAACAGCTGGGATTGGGTCTACTCCGCACAAACCACTGATGGGATCAGCGGGGATTGGGTCTACTCCGCACAAAGCATGGACCTGAACAGGTGGGATTGAGCTTGGTACAAACA